TCCTTAATGTAGTCAATTTTTAAATCATTGTGAAGAGTAGCATTAGATACATAGTAGTGCGCGTCTGTAATGAGTCTCAGAAACTTGTTCTGAACGATTTGAATTTTCTTTATGTCATTATTTTTAACAGTAGCCCAGGCAGGTGAAGCATAGCAGATGGTAGGTCTGATGATGGCCGTGTAGATATGCTTTTTACTTTTTAAATTGAGACCAGAAAACTTTCCTAATAGAGGCATGAGGTTTTTCATATTACCATTTCATATTACCTTTACCTTTAATGATATTGATATGGTCGGTCCAGGTGAGTCTATTATTGATGGTTATACCGAGGTATTTAGCTTTATTAACAATGGGAATATTTTTGTCGAAGAGCTTTAAGTCGTTGCTAATGATCTAGTGAGTCTTTCTATTGCGGCTTATAATAAGGAGTTGAGATTTATCAGCGTTGATGACAATTCTCCATTGCTCACCAATTTTCAATGGAAGGCATAATGCTCTGTAATTTATGAATAGCTGCTGCGTTGGGGCTAAGGGATTTTACTGCAAGAGCAGTATCATCCGCATAGCAACCAAGGAATCTGTTGATCTCGTTGTCTGGATTAGGAAAGTCAGATACATAAAATAAGTAGAGAATAGGACCTAAAATCGAGCCTTGGGCCACAGAGGCACGGATGTATTTAAAATCAGAGTTTTCTTGGCCGAAGGAAACATAAAATTTTCTATTTTTAATAAATGAGTAGATCAATTTAGTCATTTCCGGAGAGAAGTTGAGTTTGATAAGCTTGAAGATGAGCCCCTCATGCCAGACGCGGTCAAAAGCTTTGACCACGTCGAGCATGAGTAGTGCGACTTTCTGGTGATTGTGCAAAGCACTACCAATAAATTCAATTAATCGAACAAGCTGCTTGGTGGTAGAGAGTGTTTTCCTGAAACCAAACTGCTCCGGAGGAAGCCTGTTGATGTACTGTTGCATTCTATTAAGAATGATCCTCTCAAAGATCTTGCCAAGTCCGGGCAGTAGGCTGATGGGCCGGTAGCCTTCGGGAGTAGTGGAGTCCTTGCCTGGCTTTGGAATAAGGATGATTTTTGCTATCTTCCATTTCATGGGAAAGTAGGATTTATCCAGGGAGGCGTTATAAATACTGATAAGTTTAGAAATGGTGCTAAAAGGCAGGTTTTTAATGGTAATGTTATTAATTTCGTCGTAACCAGGAGCTTTTCTATTTTTTAGATGCTTAATAATTTCAATGACTTCTTTAGGATTTGTGAACTCTGTATTAAGTCTAGCAGTGGCGCTATTAATGTAATCTTGTACAAAGTATCTAACATCATAAGTGAATGTAGGATCAGAAGGAGTCTCATTCGGGACAAATTGCTTCTCAAAATGCTCTGCCATAAGGGTAGCTTTATCTTTATTCGTAATGGCAATCTTATCTTCATTTTTGATGGGTTTGCTGCAAGTGGGGTTATTTCTGAGTCGCTTTGCAAAACTCCAGAATTCATTACCGGGCTCGTTGAATCTTTGAATTTTATTCTGTCATTGTTCATTCTTGAAATTATTGATATTCTTCTTAATTAATCTATTAATTTTATTTAATTCGCATTTAATATGAGGGTCCCAAGTCAGGTTCCATCGTTTCCTGAGCTTGTTCCTTTCTTTGATGAGAGATCTGATGCTGTGGGGGAGAATCTCCGGGAATTTGTTGGCAGGGATCTTCTGCGTAGCAAAATTGTAAGCGTATTTAATACTATTGGTAAGTGTGTCGATAGCGACTTCAATGTCATATGTAGTCTTGAGGCTGCCTATTTTAGGTGGATTATTTTGAATAAAAGGATGGTCAAGCAATTATTGACCAAGGGTGGCAATTACTGGTATGTGATCAGAGGTGAGATCAATGGTGAATTCGATATATATAGGAATAGAGGAATTAGTGAGGAGAATGTCCAGAATATCTCCTTCTCTGACATTCTCAGGAAGGTAGGTGAAATTGTCTGGAGCATATAAATATACTGGATGATTAGTAATGAAGTTTTTGAGTGCAGTACCATTACTATTAGTTTGTCTGCAGGCCCAGTCGGTACTTTTGGCATTGAGGTCACCAGCTAGAAAATTAACATTATCAGTGCAGAGAATGTTCTTGAGAATTTGTTCATCAAGTGGGTTATGCGGTGGATTATATAAAGAGCTAAAGTAGGCAACGCCATAAGAGGGCAGTAAAACAGAAACAGTGAGTAATTCATGGTTGTTGGATCGATCTTCTTTAATAAGGCAGGATTGCAGGCAGCTTTTAACAAAATATTGCAGTGTCTCCACCTCTGTGACTAAGCCTGTCGCACCGGTAACACCTGTTTTGGGATAATCATGCGTTTACTGGGATTTGCATGAGTCTCTGTAATTAAGGCAATATCGATGTCTTTGGTGATAAGGAAATGTAGGATATTGTTGGCATTCCATATCATGATTTGTATGGGCGCTTTAATAAGAGTGTTAAGACCCATTATTTATATTAGTGGTAGCATTATTTTCCTCATTAGTATTATTAATCTGTTTTATATGTTGGGTTATTTGCACGAATCCTGCGCTTTTAATGATAGAGACTAGTTCGGCGAGATCAGAGAATATTTTCTTCGCTTCACTGATAGTTTCATTGAATGTTCCTGATGCCAGGGTTTGTGCATAAGATTTGCCTTCAATTATGCGGCTTTGAAATGTTTTTTGTTTGTCCTGTTTGGGTTTAGGGAATTTAATACACCCTTTAAAACTGGAAGTATGATTTTGACCGCAATTGGCACAAAGTAGCGGTTTGTCTTTATTGTTCTTGTCAGGGCAGTCTCGAGATTCATGTGAACCTGCACATCTGACGCATCGAGGTTGGTAATTACATCCGATTTGAGTGTGATTAAAACCCTGACATTTAAAACATTGTAGAGGGCCCTGCCTACCTTTTTACTCCTCTATATTAATTTTTAATCCACATAGGTATTTTATCTGGTATATTTCCTTGGAGGCTTCATTTTTGGGTAAAGACACTAAAAATAAGGGAAGTTTAGATACTTCACCATTTCTCCTTCTAGTCATTTGTTTAATTTCTTCGAGTTGGAAATTAAGCTCTTCAAGTTCTTCTTTTATTTCCTCAGTTTCAGTACTCCTTAGGAGTCCTTTGATATTTGATAACTATTTTGAGTTTTCTGTCTTGGGGGAGAATGTAGGAGTGATGTTCCAGCCCCAGATCTTTAAGTATTTTAACCATTGCCCTGTAAGTGTCAGGATCTGTGGTAGTGATTTTGATTCCATCAGGAATACTATTGCCGATAAATTTGAAGTTTTTCTGGTTAAAAATATTCCTGATTTTACTGTAAGAGTATTTATTCTCTTTAAGTATGATGGGAGGTAATTTGCTAGATTTGTTTTCCTGATTTTTATTATGAGATTCAGTCGATGGATTTTCTAAATTAATGGTAGATTCTTCCTGATTGGTAATATCCATGAGCGGATTGTCCGCTTGTTCACTGATGGTTTCTATACAAGATTGTGTGGCGTTGCCGTTAGTTTGTTCTTTAGTGGCATTACGTGTTTCCTGATTTTTACTTTCTTTTTGTTGGGAAGAATTTTGCTTCATGCTTAATTTAAGTTTTTTCGCAGCTAGGTGCGAATTCCGGATCCTAATTGTTTGGTCTCCTCTGCGTTTGCAAGTGATATCTTCGTCCGAAGATATATCCTTATCGAGGGTGATTTCATCGTCGGTATTGTTGGGAGAATTATCATGCAGTTTGATAGGGCTGCGGCCTCTATCATTGTCTGAAAGGGAATTATTGTTAGTACAAGAATCAAGATTATGGTGCACATTAATTTGCTCTTGGCATTTTTTAAGATTCTCCTCATTGAGAATCTTAATCATACCCAGTGAGCTGATAAGACATGAATGAAATTTTTCTTCAATTGCTGTGAAAGATTCATTTAATTGTTTGGATTTTTCTAATTCTCTAATCTGTATGTTATAGAATTCGATCAACTTCTCAATAGTCTGATTCGCATCCATTGTGACGCATGGAAGCCATAAATCCTGCGCCCCAGCAAATGGAAGAGCCTAAGTTTCTGACATATGTGTGTAAGTTTTAAAAGCATGGATCTCCATGCAAGGATTTGTTTCCCAGGCAGACATGGGTGCATTCAGAAGTTACAATCGATTTTTAAGACTTTCTTATTAATAAAATAAAAATGTTAAGAGATCAAAACAATTTTCTATGGAAAGCTTGGCTCAATTTCATAAAAGAAGTGCAGCAGCTACTCTTATTTAGGACTCTTGTTTGCTGCGGCTAGAATTAAGATTTATTTTAAGAACTGAAAAAGTAGTGGAGCCAGGCTCTTGTGGACTTCGGTGCAGTTTAAGCTCTATTTACTGAATGATATTAATTTTTACACTTGCAAATATTACTGTATAAGAATTTTTGCAGTCTCTCAAAAATCAGTTAATAATTAACAATAATTATTACATTCATTTTATGCTGTGCAAGGACAATGCAATGATTTCATCATATTTCATTATCTCACGGATAATATGTTGTAGGTTTACCTTAGAACTTCATTGTAGAACCCCTGTATATAATGTTAAAATAAAATTATGATGATTTTTATGATTTAGTGATAATCCTGATGTAAAGGTATTTTTCAGTAGTCCCTTGAAGTTAGGATTTGACTGAAAATGAAAGTAGAAATTTCTACAGAAATTGAAAATCAGCTTTAGCATTTTTTATTCAATTAATTTAGAATAGAATTCTGAGTATTCTAAATCAAATGCTAATATTGCTAATAAATTGAAATATTTTTCTACATACAGTCATATTTATGTATCATTATTTGCAGGAAATCTAACTCCTTGTGAATTGGTAAAAGTAAACTTTGATATGGTTATATGAACACTTATGACAATAATCTTATTTGTAATTTTAAAAAGCTTTGATATAGGCTATTTTTGTATTTTTATACTATGTACTTTCAGAAAGCTTTCTTTCAATCAACTTCTAAAAAGAGCGACACAGAAAGAGCATTTAGAAGGAGATTATTTTATTTCCAAAGTAAGTTGATCTAAGATCACTATCTAAAAAACATAACTTCATTAATATACAATCAAATTAAAAATTACTTAAAATTCATAAAACTGATTGTTATAGTTTTTTTGTCATTAGTATTATTAAGTCTTTTTTTATACACCTTTAAGAATTTTTAGTTTATGATTACTTTTTCCTTTCATATGAAATATACTCCACTACATATAATACATACATTACTCTCTATTACTACATATATAGTAATCCTATCAAGATTGGCTCCAAGTATGGACTACATAAGCAGCCACTTAGTATGCCAGCTAAGATTGTCTTGCAAGCAATTCATATTTTGCTTTAAATTATAAATAAATAATTTAATTAGAATTAAATAATAAAGTTATAAACAAAATAATATATGGGGCACTAGCTATACTGATAATAACTATTTAATTCATAGGAGGTAACAACTGTTTTGAATATCTAGGGCAGCGGTCTCAAACTGGCAGCTCCCAAAGCAATTTTATGCAGCCTTTGACTATATTTCCATTAAATTAATTAGCATTATATGCCATTAATTGTTATGGCAAGATTTTGAAGAAATATTTTAGATTTTAATGATTTTGATTCCAATTTTATATTATTTTAATTACCATTAAAAACAAATGTGAGTAATGTTTCAAAAATGGAAATAATTAATTTACAATGTGATGTAAATGTTATTCAAAGATTTGAAGATAAAGATATGATTAACCTTTTTTCTCACCTTTCAAAAGATGAATTCTCTCAGTTATGAAATTTCGCAAGAATAAACTCTTTGTTTGGGTATACATATGCATGTGAACATTTTTTTCCACATTTGGAATTTAAAAAAATCTAAAAAAAAAAAAAAAGAAAAAAAAAAAGAAAGAAAGAAACCAGGCTGAGTGATGAGCATTTGCAATTTGTGATAAAGATAATTTCTTGTAATTCTTGTCCAAGGTTTCAAACTTTATTGAAATTGAAGTGATCAAAAAGTCTTGAACTCTTCTGTCTTTATTTTCAAAGCTACACTTTTCCGTTACATTTCTTTTCATATCCTCATATTGTTTCTAGAATCCTCACTATTCTCCTTAGTGGAGTTTTAATCATTTTATCTTTTTTCCTTGGTGTGCTGCGAGAAAAGAGTGGTACCTGTCATCCCTTGAAATAGTATATTATGCATATAATCAGGGCTTAAACGCTGACAGCGATCGGCTGAGCTGCATTTTAGCATCTAAGTGGAACTGAAATTTCAGCCGATGCCTGAAATAAGACAAGGTCCGATACTTTTTTTTCTATTTAACTATTTAAAATTACTTTAGTAGTTTATTAGATTTCTCTTTATCTCTTTGAATATTCTTAATTTTAATTAACTAATTAATCAATTTAAATTTGTTATTTAATTATTTTAATTTTTAGCTATTTTATTTATTTAATGTATAGGTATAGGTGACTAATGTATAGGTGACCTTAGAAAGCTGTCTTTCCAAAGAGAAGAAAGTAAATTTTGCTAAGCTTAGTGATAAATGTTTTTTCAAACAATACAATTTATGGAAGATAATTGATGAGAAATAAGCAGTAGGACAGTACAAAAGTGCTTTTGTGGGTGTGGTTGTAAAAAATATTGATAGAAGAGGTTGAAAATGATTCTAAAGCTGTTTCAGGGTTTCAAAGCATGCAAAGAATTTAAAAATATTAACTATAATGTTAAATATCTCAATCAGCATGAATAATGTAGAGCTGGGAATAATTAGGAAAATGAGTGATTTCAAATAATGCTGGAAATATATTGAAAAGATATGACTATACTTTTTTGTGTGTGAATGCAGTGCTTTATGCTATGTTAGAAATCTTTATTCTGTTCTAGTTTTTTTAATTTTTTTATTAAATAACTGAATCAATCAAAAAATATGCCAGTAAACAGCATACAAAAATTCTTTCAACAGAAAAAGTAACTAGGAAAGATATCCTTATTGTTGCATAAACCAAATGTTTAAATTAAATATTTTCATAATTTTATTATTTTAAGTGAAACTGGTTAAATTATTTTGTTAAGTGAATATATAAAAGGTTAAAGTGGTAATGGTTAAAGTAAATGTATATGTATTTATTACTCAAAGCAAAGTGGAAATATTTTTACACAAAAATTTTCTTATCAATAAATTCATACTGTACTTTCCTTTGTTACCTAATGTGAATAAAACATTTTTAGTGTTCTGAAATATGAGATTACACTTTTTTTTTAAATATAAATTCCAATTAAAGTTGAAACTGCATGAAACATAAACTTTATGTAACTATAACAGTTCCTTAATAGAGCTAAAATACTGTAAATCTAATTTTAAAAAATCATTTGTATTTTGTTGTGTAATTTTTCAAATTTCTAACATATAATTACTGTAGCATTAATTTCTTTGAATTGTTAATACTTTTAGAATGAATATTATTATTTACGTTCTGTGGGCAAAGATGTTCGAAAAGATATTGCTGACATACGTCTCCAGTTTCCTCCTTTGTCAAAAGATATAGTCTTTCCAAGCTTTGTTCCTGAGAATCAGATCTTCTCAAGCATCTTTCGTATAGCTTCTGAAGGACTTTCTATATGGACTCATTATGATGTAAATAAGTATTGCATATTCTTTTCATTCTCATAGTGCTGTAATTAACTTACAAGTGGTTATTAATATAATGACTTTTATATAATATTGTTTCATAATCTTAAGTTCAGACAATGAAATAAAAAGCTGATTCTTAAACTTTTAATGAGAATGAAGCTTTTCCTGTACATTTAATTTCCTCCACACGTGCCCTTTTCTTTTTCTCTTCTTTTTTTTAAACTTTGAAAATGAGTGCCAAAAATTAATGAATGAATATGTAAAACTAAGTAAATGATTAAAATGCATTTATTTATTATCATGAGCAAAATGAAACATCAGAATTATTCGAGAGAAAGGAGAGCACCAGCATGGTTAGAAAAGTTGCTTTTTTTCTAATGCTGATCTCCATAACTACAAAAAATAGAGGAAATTATGGATTGCAAAGTTGAAAAGACATTAATACATAAAGAAATGGAGGTAAACATCAATGGTTATTATTTATTACTTTGGAGTAATATTTAGCAAGAAGAACTTAATTTTATAGTAAAGTAATTATTTTTATGCACATATTGATGTAATGTAATGCAGAGTCTGAGATCCGGATTCTTCGGGACTTGGTATTTCTGAAAATTTCCAGATTTTAGATCAGCAGTTTAAATCTAGTAAGTTGACATGTAGGGATGGAAACATTTGGCCTTTGCTTATTGTTTTGGTAAGATAGAAAAATGCTAACCACCCGAAAGGGCTGGCACCAGACCTGATGCGGCCGCACCAATTGGCAGAATTTAGGGGCGGCAAAATTTTTAAAATTCAGAGAAGCACTGAACTGCAAAAATCAAAAATGGCAAAATTTTTAGAATTTAACAGAGAGAGTGAGCAGCAGAATTTAGGGAGGTACTGTAATTTAATGTAATATACAAGTGAGTTGAAACCCTCCTGGCCGATAATGATTGGCCTCATGGTTAATGCAGCATACTCAACACAGACAATAGTACAGTTTAAAGATTAAAACAAAAGCTTAAGACACATAAAACAGAAATACAGTCAAAAACATCAAACCAAAATTCCCAGTAGTGTTCTGTTGCCATTTATAAAGTTCATCAATTCCTTTGCAAATCTAAACAATAGAATGGGCAATAGAATTCCTTTATGTTACCATGTTTTACTATAACATGTCACAATAATATGCAGTCTTCGACAAAATGTCATCCATAGTCTTCAGCACTACAAAAACTATAAAGACTGCTATTTTGTAAATTATGCCAGGAAGCTCCCATTTCCAATAATTATTTGATAGTAATCAAAATCACATATCATTCTCATATTTTTAAAAACTTCAAAGTTCAACAAGTAATCTTTCCTTTTTACCAAAATACTCCATTTCTTTTTCCAACAATCATAACAGAAATCCTTAATTTTACCAATAACAATTCTTTTTGCTGCTTGAATATTGAACGCATCCCCAGCATTACCCATAGCAGCCTCTTTGGCCAGCATGTCTGCCCTCTCATTGGAATTTAGGGTGGTACTGGGCAGCAGAATTTATCACCTGCAATGATTACACTGGGTGGCAAAATGTGTAGCGCCGGCGCTGCCTCCCCAAACCACTCAAGGGCCAAAAGTTCATCCTGGCCAACATCAAATACAATTAACTGCTGAAGGACAGAAAGTTCATCCTGGCCAACATCAAATACAATTAACTGTTGAAGGACAGAAAGTTCATCCTAGCCAACATCAAATACAATGTCAAACAATATATTGTTATTGGCTTCGATGTGATTCCATAGCCAGTAGGCGATTGAAGGTGGCATGCAAGAATCTCAGATGGGAGAGAAAGCATATTTACAGCACATTTTCCTTTTTTGTGGAGTATTCAATTTTCCACATCTACATTTCATGGGGAGGGGAAAGAATCCTTTCTCATTATTTAATTTAATTAATGGATTTATTTATTTCTTGGCTGGTGGTCCAGACATTGGACATCCAGATATCAGACTTTGTACTGTATAAAAATAGATATGCATAATCGTATACATTTATCCATGCTTTATTTGTGTATGTTATGGCCAAAGTGAGAAGTCTGGCATCCAAAGTACATCAATTTCTAATATTGATTAACTGATGTGCCATATCCTGAAATATGTAAGAATTTATCATTACCTTTGAGGTTTGGTTGGTCACTTTGGTTTGACCTGGAGAAACTGGCTAAAGTTAGAAATTACTTTTATTTTGATTTTAATGATTTTCACAAAAACCTTGTCTTTAATGGAGCAAAAATATACTTACTATTTACTGAATTTTATTTATGGCATTTTGTTTGTGCTGCAAAAATAACATAAAAGTAAACAAATGAATAATAAGTATATGTTTCTGAAAGATGTAAAAATCATACAAAGCACATAAATGTAAAGAGGACCTTAACACTATGCTGTGAGAGTAGTGAAGTGTTTTGAAAAAAATTTTATAATTTGTTATGCTATAGTTACATTATATTGCCATTTATGTATCATACACTCACTCTGGCAAGTATTACTGCTGCAGCAAATATTGCACTGCTTCACATCTGATTTTCGATTCATAGGTCACTTAGGTTCTTAAATCTCTGACTGCTCAATTTGTAGACCGAAATTGCTTTAAAAATTGTGCAATTTTTTTTGCATATTTTAAATCGATATATATTAGAAAATTAAGAAATGCATTTTTCCTTTCTAGAAAATATTTTTTTTTTTATATAGATTTTTATCATGAGAAACTAAGTTGCCAGAAAAACCAATTTCAGATGTTATCACCAAAAAAAAAAAAAATTTCTTTTAAAATAAATTTCAGTCGAATTACAGTCCATTTCTATTTATTGCATAATATAAAGTAAAATATATAAAATTTAAGAAAATATAAAGCACTGAGGAAAAAATACCTTAGAAATGCAGTTTAGTATGATAGCATTCAAAACAGGGTTCAAGGCAAAGTCCAACTTCACAATCTTTGCAGCAGATTCAATAAATCTAATTAATAATCAATGTAATTATTAATCTAATTAATAATTCAATAATTTAATTAAGTAATCAAGATAATCGCTGAATGTTTTCCAGCAGCCATTTCTGTAAGAAAAAAGTGCAAAAAGTGGAGTTTGAGCCGTAATACCACGTGCCTTCAAATGCCGAAATTTAGTAGATAACTAATGATATCTGTTGGCCAAAATGTAAACTAAACGTCTAATACTGTGTTTAATTTATTTCAGTGGTTAAACGGGGGGAAAATGGGATGTGCTCCTCAATAAAAGAAGAAAAACTCATGCCCGCGGAAATCGTGGGATGAGCAGATTTTGCTACATTTGAGTTGCCTGTGGAAATCGAGGGATGAGCAGCCAGAGGGTTAATGGTCATTGATGACCATTAGTTTATTTTAATTTTAACAATATCTATATCTGCTACATGCTGCCCAGCCAATATAGTGGTTAGTGATCCATGAATGTCATAGTGATGGGCCCGGGTTCGAATACAGGAGAAGGCATCGTTGTAACTGTTCATCCCTTCATAGGAGGCAATGGTGGCCACCTATTAGGTGCTTCCATAATGAAATGGCTACCGTTTCTGGCCCTTGTTAGTGGCAAAAGGCTAATGTCTATTAAATAAAGTGACTGGCCATTAAAAAAATATCTGCTACATTCTCCAACTAGTGACCTATGGGCTGATTTCGAGTATTCATAGATCATAGATAGCTAACTTGTATATCACTGATGACTTGTTTAACATTTTATCTTTTATAACTTTGAACTTAAAAGCTGTAATTGTAAAACTTTTTATGAAGATTCTGTCTGAAGTGTAATTATAATATACAGGAGAGGAAAGATTATTTAATAATATATCAGTTTTGTGTATAATTTGATTATTTTAAAGTTGTTAAGATGTATGCATAATATGTTCAGCTACCACTGAATCCATACTATCATTTTCCTTTGAAGTCCTACTAAGTACTTTGAGTAGTTCTTTCATAAACTACTCTAGACACTTGCCAGAAAGGAGAGATAAAAGAGAAAACATGAAGGAAAGAAAATGAAAACGGCTGCTAAAAGAGGGAAGAAGGGAGGGAGAAAAATATTTCTGCAAATAAATCTTCACCAAGGTATTTACTATATAGTAGTTCAGAAAAAAAAAAAAAAAAAAAAAAAAAAAAAAGGTAGGTGATTTGATAATGCTTCAAATGTGTTTGAATAATTACACAGAAATACTATTTTATTTCAGAATGCCAAAACAAACTAAAAATATATGTAATACAACAGAAGAATGCAGTTAAAGACCTACTTTACATTGGAGAACTTATGAAAGAATAAGGCAGTGAAATTTGTGAAAAGAGAAACAATTTTTTCCCCTATGTGATATTAAATGGAAAACATAAACAATCACCATATTTTTTTATAGACCAATAGATTTGCCAAGCATTGTTGCACTGGCAATGAATGATGAAATAATAAATATTGCTTATAGATAATACAGTAACTTTTTTAAGTAGCTATTATTGTATAAAACAGCAAGACTAAATCATATTATATATATAATCAAAATTATACTTATACTCAAAGTTTAGTCTGTGTTCTAATTTACTTCAATTATAAGATATATTTATTAATAAGTAAGATTAATTTCTAACTTTGATTTGTAATATTCCTTGAGTTTCCTTTGTAATTTTAATGCTGATAATAAATCTTTTCTCAGGTATTTCATTTCTAAATTAATTTATGAAATGTTTTTATATTACACTAATGAATAATCTCTTCTCTACATATAATAAAAGAAAGTGTCTGTCTGTGTGTCTTTCGCTCCCGCTGCACGTAAGCTAATAGACTCACGGCTACGAAATTTGGTACATAGGTGCATCTAGACAAGAGCCAGTGCACCTCGAAGCGATTTTTTCAAAATTCGAATTCGAATTTTTTTTATTTTATGTTTTGTGACGAAATTGCGTCATTTTGAGACATAATGGGCTATAGGAAAGCTAGATTTTACTCTACGCTCTCCATTTTCACATCGTCATGAAATGTAGGCACTTAGCTATTTTACGAACTTAAAATAAATTTTGTGTTTCAATAAATCGATTAAATACGAATTTATTTAACAAAGTGAGCTTAACACCTTTTCAACGGGATTTTTTCTAAAAAAGTTTATGCTTAAAAATGTACAGTTTATTTTTGTTTTATTTTTGGACACGTTAAACTTTCATCCTTGCGACTGCTTTTACAAAAAGAATTTTGGAAAAATGATAATATTTTGTATTAAAAAAATTTTTTTTTTAAATGAAACTTCCGAGTACACTTCTCACATCTTTAAAAATGTGATTTTGGCAACAATTTTCCTTGTTGCCAGTTGTTGATAGATTTTTGATTAAATCGCAGTATTTTAAATAGTTTCATTCTTTTAGAAATATGGGTTTGGCAACAATTTTTCATAGTATTTCTTATGTCAGTGTTTTTAAGAGATTGGCATATTTCATTGTCATTTTTATATATAGAGAGAGATAATACATTTTTATTGATGTTTTTTATAAAGTTGTTCTGCAGAGTAAAATTGTGCATGGAATTTTTTTCGCAGAAAATTCTACGCAGTTTTTAAATTTTAACGTTTGGTTTTCCCTTCAGCCATTTTTCCGGTACATTTAAAAGCCAGACGAAGGCTGGCAGCGATGCTGCTAGTATATATATATTTGATTAATAGCAAACATGAAGCTGAAATTTATCTGATAATAATAAAACATTTTCAAACCAAAGTTTTAGCTAACCACTAGAAACAGAGCATAACCATAACTTATCTATTCTAAATCTAATATCATTTTTGTAATCTTCACACTCTTCTCTGTGCTACTAGAATGCTTTTGCTGCCACTCTTCTATCTCCACTAAAAATTCTGTGAATATGTAGAAAGTAAGTCAATAATTTTGAAATACAGGCTGTACATATTGCACAAATTTATCTATGTATGTGCAACAAATGTTGTGTCAAGAACAAAGAAATGTTCAACTGTCTATGACTGCCTGCTACATGTAACATCCAGCTTTCATCATCATCTTTGATTACAAACTGAGGCTTTTCATTGCTTATACGTACACATACACACAATCACACACACATATATAAATAAAAACTCTTTAAATATAAGCTATTTTAACATTATAACATTTTGTCATAGCAAAGTCAATATTTATTCAATTTCAGTAAAAAGGATGGTTATCCAAGAAGTGATCAGAAATTACCCCTGTCCTGAGATAATTTCTGGTCACTGAAAAATTATAATTATTCAAACTGCATAGTACTTAGCATATGCAGTTTTTATATTAATTGGATGTAACTGATTTTTGACTGAAAATTACTTCAAACGATCCAATATATATTAAAGTAATAAGAGAAGGAAATTAATTTTGATTACAGGTCATGGATAATGCTTTGATTCAAGTGAAAGGTCGAAAGCATGCTGTTCTTTTCCCACCAACTGATGTTCTCAATTTATATCTAAAAGGTTAGGATTCAAATATTTTTATTTCTTACATATTAGTTTTTGTACTCATATATATAAAAAATATGCTTTCCTATTTGATACTGTTTCACAACATTATTTTAAGACAGTAAAATTAGTACCCTTAAAGTATCCTAGTTTTTGTGAATAAATGGAGTTAATTAACTTGAACATATTCTTTTACTCAGCTTCTGCTTATTTACCTAAAAGGATACGTTTTAATGTCTATCTAAAAATCTGTTATTTACAAATTTGCTTATGAATATGTCTACAAAATCCAGTGATGTGAATCTTTAATCTTTTGAGTCCCAAGCAGCACGATCACGCTGTTCAGATTTTATGTTGAGAAAACCCAGTACATGTCGAACATTGTGGACAACTGATGGTATACTTGATGTTGATAATGTGGGCACTTGATTTAAGTCAAGTGCACATTGATGTAAAATAAACAAAGCGCTTTCGTGCTGCTTGATATTTCTCATCATAAAATAAAACAAGTGCTATCGCACTGCTTGGGTCTTTTTGTACTTATTTAGAGAAAGCATGGTTGCACTGTTTGGGATTCTTCAACAGTGTTTTTTCAATACGGGCCATGTTCTTCCAATGTATTTCAGATTATATATATGTGTGTGTGTGTGTATGTATATAATTAAACGGCTGGATACCTACAATTTATGTTTTTGTTGGAAATGACAAAGCTAATCAATCATTTAGCTGTTTCATCACTAAAAGCATTGCCTAGAGTGTCCCACATCGAGTGACATATATTACACCCACAGGAAATGGGAAAGGACTCATACAAATAAACAAGTTTTATGGGGAATTCAAACTTGCATCCTGAAGCCAGGATCAGCAGTCATCCTCTACTGTCTGCTAGACCATGCACAGAAATTTAAAGATAAATATAAGATGATAATTTCGACTTATAAATGTTAGTATGTAACCCACTTTGTCTACAAATAAAATGGCCTAGAAAATTTAGCAGTTATGTAGAATGTTCTCTGAAGTTAATCATATACTGTCAAGAAATTAGTCTGGCTTTTAATTTAGTGAATCGCATAAATGCATGTACTCATATAAGGCGAACATGACAAATATAATATTTATCCCTTTTCATAAATGATGCATATCCTATTAAGGCCTGAAAATCTAAATATATATTTCTAAAATCTTAGTTACTGATATTTCAAATTTTATTCTTCTAAATTTTTTTTAATAATATTTGTGTGAAAAAATTCTATAATTATAATGATGGGATTTGCTAATCTGTCTTTCCGATTATTTATTAATATTTTATTGTACATCTGTACAATGCAAACAATCATAATTTAGATTTTAAAAGAATATTATGGTATATGTAAATAATGGAAACTTGACTAAGAAATTATGACTATCTCAGTGGCTCTTTCAAACTTAAACTGTATGCATTTGATATCATAAATAAGCTTAGAAATTTTATCAACTGAATAGCTTCAGTTTTTGTTTAAAGAGTTTATAAATTAAACATTTATGTTCTATTTCAAAAATAAAGGGGGGGGGGTAAATCATGCATATAAAAACTGAATGAAGCATTAACTATGCAAAATAAGCACTGCTTCATATTAGATTTAAAAGATTTTTGTTATTATCTCCAGTGTAAAATGAAGTTCAGGCAATTTCACTTTTTATAGCATTAATAATACCTATATAATCCTCTGCATATTACCTTTTTTAATATTTTATATATTTCCTTTCTGTTAAGTATTTTGATTTAAATATTTTATGTACAGGGTGTGTAGTAAAGTTTTTAACACTAGAATAAGTTTTGAATGCAGACAGCTAAAGTCGCAGAAGTTTTATTTTGTTTACCATTTTACTACCCTATTTACTATCAGGTGAATTTGTAGCATCATAGAAACTGAGTGAGAGTTCCTAGAGGCATATTTTTTTTTTTTTTTTTGTAAAATAATGATCATATTACAAAAAATGTGAGAGATAATGAAAAAAATAGAGGCGCAGTGGCTAGCGCATCGCAGCAGCACCACAGGTCTGGGGTTCGATTCCCGGGCTGGGCACGGTCGACTCAGCCTTTCATGCCTTTATTTTTTCCATCACTTAGGTCGATAAAATGAGTACCAAGTTCGCTTGGGGACTAAACACCGGGGGTCCTGCGACAAGCTGACCACTTGTTCAGGGTGTATACTTATGCACCCGGAGCCCATGGTCAAAAAAGCAGATTTCGGGCACTGCAGGCCTTGGCCCATTAGGGCTTTTACGCCACTGAGTTTAGTTTTAGTTTAATGAAAAAAATAAATAGAAATATACAGATATAGAAGAGCATCACTGATTTATAGTATGAAATACTATCCTTCGTATACTATAAATTTGGATAGAAATCCTGAAATGCCAATCTCTCAATATCTGATCATCAGCGTAAATATGTTACCAGTGACATCTCAAAGTGTAAAATCTTTAAATGAATTTACTTCCAAAACAGTGATGGATGAGTGAAACTATACAGATAGAAATTTTACATCATATTTGATCTGGATGCATATATTAGCAGTCAGAGGTTTGTCAAACAGCATATGGACCCAAGTTTTTAGTCTAAAAATGGCTAACTATTCAGTAGAGGATGAAAGATGATTATTTTTATAGATAATGTGTTTATTGGGCAATAAAAGCAATGTGGTAGTATGCATTACATTTAATTAATCATCTCATCCTATTGTGGCTATTGTCATCAATGTCATTAGCCAGCTTAGAGAAACAGTGAATGTTACAAGTCATTCTTGTTCAGATAAACCAAAATTTACAACTGTGCATGCGAAATCAGTGGCCATTCTGTTTTATATACTAGCCCACCCACAAAGCACAACAAACATAAGTGTAGCATGTGGCCTTACATTTGGTCGCGTATGGAAAATTTTGCATTAATTGTAGGCTTGCCTGTGCAGTACTAAAACAAGTGTTGCTGCTAACATATTATTAGAAAGAGTAATATTGCGTGGACTGGATCTTTGAGCCTAAAAATGTCTAATTACTCCAGCAAGGATGCAAGGTGATTCTCTCATATAGAGAATGTGTTTATTAGGCAATAGAAGCACTGTGGCATTATGCATTACATTTAATTAATCATGTTATGCTATTGTGACTACTGTTATCAATGTCATTTGCTAGCTTGCATGAATCATAAGCTAACCAGTATAGTGCAATACTAACACAAGAGTTGTTGCTAATAGACTATTAGAAATTTTAATCTGTTAGCAGCAAATCTGGATGCAATTTCCTGATGGACATACAGCTGAATTTCTTGGCTAACATTATGTGAATGAATGAGGCAAAATTTGATCAAAATGGGATATTAAATTCACATAACTTGCACTTGAAAACTCGTCATGGCAATAAGAGGTTTATTATCAGGTACAATTGGTTCTCCAACCTTTGTTGTGGGATTTAGAAATACTCACATTTATAAGATTCCATATTCTGTGATAGAACCTTAACTAGATGGAGATATTTGGAACTATTACAGACTACAGTTCCTGATTTCCTAGAATGATTTTTAGTTAGTCTATCTCTATTCTACATTGGTTCCAGTATAAAAGCTCCTCACCACATTAGCTAGTAGCAGTGAAAAGCTTCTTGTTAGATAGTTTCAAGAGCAGGATCATCAGTTATAGTGGTAATGTGGAATGGCCCATGAGGTTGCTTGACTAACTCTTCTAAACTTCTTGTGGAGTTACAAGACTAGACACAAAGTTTGATGTTTTGTGATATTAACAATCTGTGGATCCATATTATCCAAGTATGCTAACTATCAAATTCCAAAATACCTGAAATGCAGTGGAATCCAGCAAAAAATTCTAACTCGGATATAGATGTGTGTTGCTAATGCATCGAGCATGCTTAACTATTAATACTAACATTTCATAATTCTAAAGTATTATTTTGTCTTTTCAACTTTATTATATTTTACTGCTGTATGAATTTATTGTACCTTACAAGATACAATAAATTGTACCTTGCTGAAATGTATGAGTAAATTTGCATATTTCTTATAATGGCACACATGCAGTCTAGTGACCTAGTCTAGCAGTTTTTAGATACCTAGAGATCTGCAATTTAGGCCTTCAAATTATCAGTGTGTGCAAGGCATCATTTCATATTAAACTGATGATGCCCTACATGTTTCATTAACTCTCATAGATTTTTGGAAGACGAAAAGCATGTCTTCAGGAGATTTGCAGTTATAAATTATAATACAATATACTAACTTTATTGTAGGTAATCACAACTTCAACTGTGGCTTTTTTCAGAAGTTATTTCAGCATTTAAGGATTTCATTATGCATCCTGTATATGTATTAAGAAACTGTTATTTTCAGTGATTAAGAAATAAAAAATTCAATAGTGTTTAATTTGCATAAATTCATATCATGTATGCAATAAGATGTTAAAAAGTTGCCCTCATATTTTGGCTGTTGATTCAAAGAGAAATTATATTAGCTAATAAAAAGTAATTTTACTTCATAGGTGATAAATCAGAAGTGTTGAACATAGATAATCCAGACTTAAATAAATTCCCGAAATTTCAAGATGCAGTACGTCATGAGTGCTCTTTACTGCCTGGTGATGTACTATATATTCCAGGTGGGTTATTTTTAAAATTTATTTAATTATTATATTAATTTCATTTGCCAACTTGTAATCCATTGAGAAAATTTATAAAGTTTATTTTTCAAATAAAACATATTTTCAGGTAACGAAAATCATCTTGAAAATTTTAATTTAAGCAACATGATTTGCTTTCCAAGTGCCAAGCATGTTAATCGATAAAAAAAGAGATGGCAATCTAGTTGTCAAATACAGATTGGTTCCATTAAAGAGAAACACAACAGACTATCTTAAAATGAATATAGCTTGGTTCGATGTGATTGCTTTGCTTGAAATGCACTAAATCTTTTTGATTTGGATTCATTATAATATGCGTATGTTTCATAATGAAATTATGCTACTAAAACAGTTAGATATTTTCACGGATGCAAAATTAAATTCATTTACTATATTTTGTTTCATTATAAATTATCATCTACACATCAGTGCCTAAATGATAAATGTACCTGTATTTGATTAATCTTGCATTTGATTTTTATCTAAAGGAAGATTTATTGGTCAGTTGACTTCCTTCATATGTGAGATAAATTTATAACTCTGAAAATAATAATTTAGCAGATAACACATGATGTAATACTGAATATGTTACTATAATTTAAATAATGTAATCCAAGAGTTTTCAGTTTTTGTAAACCTCCCTTTTTTCCAAATCTAATTATTAAGTAATTCATAAAATACTTTATCAATTCTATGATTTGAGAATCATTTATATCAGTGATGGCAAAACTTGTGAGCTGTGAGCTACATGCAGCCAGTGAATTCCTTTCCTGCTGGTAAGGTTAAAAAAAGATTTATTTTCAGCATTATTGTTTGTCGTACTATGGGAATCCTGTTATATTTATGTTTTTGTGCTTTCTTTTAAGCATGCATAGTATAAGTGCATGTGCATATTTCTGAAATTAAAGTATATTGCTGAAAATTAATTGCTTCACATAAGCATTCACAATGTTCCTATTGACTTATATCAAAAGCATAAATATTTATTGAAAAATGTATTTAACAACAGTATTTCAATTTTTTTTAAACATGTACATATTGCATTTTGTTTCTATACTGTTTAATTTGCAAAAGAGAATTTTAAATATAACTAACAACTTAAGATAATCTATACTGTTATTCCATAATAAGGACTATATAAAACATTGAGCAGTTTCCATCAACACACATTTCACCCCCATTCATCTGTGTTTACATACTACATCAAATGGAAACCTTGGGAATTTAAGATAAACTTTTATAAATACTGAACTTAATATAAACATTGGTACTAACTTCTATTTTTTATTTGCTGCAGATACCTTGTTAATAAGTTGAACAACTCCAATTCACCATCTTAGATGTAAACAACCTTTATTTAGATAAAATAATAAAATACATAAACATTGCTGTAAATAAAACCCAAAAAATACATATTTTCACTAATAAAACATCATTATTTTTCTACTTTTACATATTACCTACACCACTGATTATTTACATGTTAGTATTTGATATTTTATGAGTTTTTCAAAATTTATCCTTTAATGAAGCAATATATTTTATCTCTTTAATAATGCATTTATTTTTTAATTTTAGCTTTGTGGTTTCACAACATGAAATACCTTGATTTTGGTATTGCTATAAATGTATTTTGGAAAGAGCTGGATGAATCCCTTTATGACAAAAAAGATACATATGGAAACAAAGATCATTTGCCTGCACAACAAGCTTTTGTATCAGTTGAAAGAGCTCTTGCTTCATTATCAAAATTACCCCCTGATTATAAGGAATTTTATTGCCTTAGGCTAATTTCACATATTCAAAAGGAGATAGAAGAGCTTAAAAAATAAATTTTTAAGTTTGTTTATAAGTATTTATTTGAATAAACCTACATCTAAAAGTGTTAAAACTGCATTGAATTCATAAATTAAAACATCTATGACTGACTGACTCCAAATTCTGAAATAATGGTTGAACTAAGAGGTTAACTTAGCATGGGTTACTACCTAAACTAGACTGCAAGTTCTGTAGAGAATAAAAAACACAGAAACATACAGCAATACGTTTTTCAGATGCATTTTGCAAAACCCAAATTGCTGAGACTCCGCAGTTCACTCAAATTAAATACAACGTCCAAGCCAAAGGTCTGGAATTATGGGACTCATTAAAAATATTAAGTAGTTGCTTATAACATAATAAAGCATTCAAAATTTACAACAATAACAACAACAACAACAACAAAAAAAAAAAAAAAAAAAAAAAAAAAACTATGCTTTTAGGCACTCATTGGTGAGGACCTCAAAAGCATCTAAGATAGTTGCTTTGCCTTAAACCACTATTTTTGATCACCAAGAAGGTGCTTGGAGATATTGTAACTTATTTATTATTTTATAATTGCTTATGAGTAACAAACAGACAATGTGTTCTTTGCTAAGTAAATACATAAAAACATGTAAAATTTTCCCCAATACTGTCTTTAATGGAATAATATTTTCATAAAATATCCTTTAGTTTTTAAACTAAATGTTAAGAAATATGCAAAATGCTCATATTTATAAAAATATTTAAATAACTTCACTTGTGATTACATAGATATTTAGTTAAAACTTTTATTTATTCAAGAGAAAGAGAAAATATTGCATTTGATTAACTTGAATTACATATACAAGGTAACCAAAAAAGTTAACTTGCTGTTTTGGACAGTCAGAAAGAAAAAGTCATAAAACAAATAATAATCACCACTAATCCTCAAAGTAATCACCATTGGCATCCAGTGCCTTTTGCCAACGAGTGGCTAGCTGTGCAATACCATTGAGGTAACTCAGGAGTCTTGGATGCAAAGAAGTCCATGAGGGCCTTTTCGAGGTCTGGCAGGTTGTTGAAGCATTTCCCACAAAGATGGTTGTCCAGGGAATGGAAAAGGTGGTAGTCTGTTTGTGCGAAATCTGGGAAGTATGGTGGATGGGGTAGTGTCTCCTAGCCCAGTCACTGGATGGTGTCCTTGGCCTCCCTAGCCACATGTGGCCTTGCATTGTCCTGGAAAAGGAGTACACCCTTACAATTGACCAATGCTGGCTCTTTATGCATCAGTGCCTGATGCACACATTCCAATTGCTACTACAGGCCTGCCATGATGGTTTGGCCCACTGGCAGGAGCTCATAGTGCACCACTTGATGACTAGTCCACCACAGGGTCCCGTGAGGACAACCAATGTCTGGAACACCTTAATGTGTCATACTGTACTCACTTTTCATCGCTGGTGGGTACTTAATCAAAATATGGATGCATTGTGATGCCGAGTAAGCAATGGCAAACTGGCAGCGACGCGCTGTTGCTTGTTTGCATTGGAGTGTGAGTGGGGTACCCACTTGCTCAGCTTATATGCCTTTCCTATGTGGTGCAAATGGAGTCATTGTTTCATCAGATACCTGGAAGTGTGCAGCAAGCTAACCACATGTTTGGCTACTGTCACCCTCTATAGCTGCTCTCAGGGCCTCATTGTCTAGCGCTTGTGGCCAGCCTCTGCATGGTGTATCACTAAGAGACATATCCCCTGACCTGAACTTCTGGAACCATTGCCTAGTGGTTCATTCTTTAACGACATCATCCCCAAAGGCCTGTTCAGTGACTTGATTCTGCTGCTGATAGGCCCAATTTAAAATCATACAGCAAACAACTCCGAATGAACGCCTTTGACGCATCCATTTCAATCAGTCGCTGTGTGAGTTATGCTTGAATACCGATGCAACACACTTTAATACTCTTGGTCAATGTCTGGACTCCCATCCTAAACACTTCATGGCCAGGTTTGGCAACTATTTTTTGTTGAGGTTCATTCTTTCAATGTCATATCAGAAACAGCAAGAATTTTTTTGGTTAGCTTGTAATTACATGCAAAGAATAAAATTACTTAAGCTAGATAAAAATTAACCACTAGAAGCGTACTTTAATAAATTATAATAAGCATACATTTATTAAACACAAACTACATTGATAATAAATATAATAATGGTGAATTATTTACTCTTTTTAGAGCAATACTCATCGCTTACTGGCTTGCTGAAGTTCTGTTCTAATGCATTTAAAATATCTCTGAACCTTTAATATGTGTTGATTTGAATGCGATTTTCATTAGAAAATATTTTTAATGAGCTCAATTTTATTGCATACTTACATTACAAACAATATATACTATGTTGTTCAACATAATATAATTGTAAGCAACAATGCAAAGTTTAGTTAAAATTTCTGCATTTTGTTATATAAAATATTAAAATAATCTAGAGCATAACATCTGAGTTTCTAAAATATAACCCGTAACTTTTCTAAAAGTTACAAATTTCAATTAAAAAATTATCAGTAAATAAATGAATAAAATAGAACCTTAATAAGAAAAGAAGCACAGCATCTTGCTTTTTTATATTTATTTATTGTTTTTAAATATAGATTGCTGGCAGGCAATCTATATCCTAAATGAAGAATGATTCTGTCTTATTTTTCATTTGAAATGCATAGAAGTTTTCTATAAAACAGTATCATTCTAAGGCTGAATTTTATCTAAACTACTGTAATGATATTTTAACTTGATTAGCATATTAAACAGAGTATCATTTTAATTTAAATAACTGTCACCAGTCTGAAATGCTTTGTCAAATCATTTAATGATTTTTAATGAAATTTGGATTAGTGCAATTTTTATAAACATTCAGAATTAATAAAATAATAAAAACTTTTTTTTTCATTTTTTAATCACATTATTACATCTTTGGTCTGCAAAACCCGATTAATAAAATCTGGCCCTTGACCCAACATTGGTGCATTTAGCCGGTAAAAAGATGTTGTCTGTTGTAGAAAATTATCACATGTAATAGAAAAGATTTTCCAAGATATTAATATTTTAGCTAAAGCAAGCATTTTTTTAAGTATTATTATTAGAAATGCTTTTAAGTATTTTACTGCAATTTTATTTTTGCAACAGCAAAATTTTTGTATTTTATACTGATCGCTGTATTTTTAACGTCACTAGTATAAATTAAAGAAATACACCTAGCAACTTCAATCACACATGACTTAAACATAAATTTGTTTTATGCAAAAGAATAAATGAATATTGATCGATTTTGCATTCATTTGAGGTAATTTATGTTGCATGACAGCACTTAGAAAAAGAACAGCTGTGGATGTGTAAAAAAGAATCTGTATTTGTAACCCTTCTGTGTTTCTAAAGGAAAATTTAAAATAGTTCACAACAGCCGATGAAGTTGAGATCATTCAGTAGAGTCATCATAGGTACATTCTATACATGTTTTGAAAGAACTGCAGCAGTTCAGAAGAGTAATTACACCCCCAGGAATTTTTAATTTTGTACTTTGAATATGGAAAAAGGCTCTTCAAAACATTCGCATACAAGAGATATATCTTTCCTTGAGACTAAAACGGCAGATGTGACAATAATTAGTTACCTTATATTTGAACATATGCTTCAGTCTGTTGTTTCCTTCTGATAAAGATTTTTTTTTCTTGTGTTTCTATGGCAAAGCCTTATACTGTTTTAAATATGTCATATCCGAACTTAAATTCTAAGATTACTGTTCAAAATTAAATAAACTTGCATATCAGATCAAAATTCTAATCTATGTAAATGTTCCATAAAGTTATTGTATTTATAGCAGCATAACTATATAAGCCCATATTCTGAATTGGGAAGGACATTCCATTTATTACTTTTTTCTGAAACTATATTAAATTGCAATTTCTGATTAAAATGGTTTAGCTCCCTTTCAATCGGAATTTTGCACAATTAAAATTCAACTATGAAAAGTAGTTTAATTTAATGTTGATCTACTAAAAGAAGTGTAACATGAGTTTAAAGTTTTTAACTTTTCCCATTTCCTGAAAATCTAGTAGGACAAAATGTCCCAATTGTATTGGGATGGTGACAATTGTATTGATTGAATCCCAATCGTCTACTATATTACCCTTTCTTAGAAAATAAAACTAAAATTTATAGTAATACATAATGTGAATATTACAAAACATAAACTCTGTCACATGCACTAGTTCATATACAACAGAAATTTTCATATATATTTCATAAACACAAACATAATATATCATCATGTAGTAATTTGATCTTTGGTGGGACATATTAGCCCACTGTTAAAAATTTCTTAAATCTTACATTAAAAATGTTAAATTACTACTTAATAAGAACTATTTCATACTAAGTATGCCTTAAATACACTTGTACTTAGTGTAAAAAAAAAAAAAAAAAAAAAAAAAAAGACAAATCCAAACTTGAGTAGTCGGCGCACCATCTGCAGTCTAAAAGTGTCACCAGGTTTCTTTGGTCATTATTTGTTCCCTAATTCCTTCAAAACATTGGAAATGTAAAACCCCATTTAAAAGTGTGTTTTATTTACCTAATAGGGTATGAAATCTAATCTCTAGGAAGTATGTGCCCATTAGGAACAAAAGAGTTACAAAAATTGATTTAGTATATGAAAATTTGGGGGGGGGGAACGAAAACCACATTTCACTTTTACTTAATTAGGGTTTGTACATATTTCTGCACATGGAAATAAGGATTATCAATGGAAAAAAAATTAAGGACCTACTGAATAAATTCAATTAAAGATATTATCTATGGTTGAATTTCACTTTTGTTATACCATCCTAAGAATAAAACATCTGTAAATAGGATGCATTATTATTAAACATAATTTAATAAATGTAATCACAAAAGAAATTTGAGAATAAAATCAACTTTGTAAAATTTATCAAGTAGCATTAAATATTTTACATTTATAATAGTTGGATTATATAAAACCAAATTAGCAGTCAGAACTATTACAAGTGTTGAATTTATTGATTTATGCTAATTTTTATTTTCATCGTAAAAAGCACATTTTTCCTTAAAATTGGCTTTTTTTGAACAAGCGAACTGGAAAGAACACTTTACAAAAATAGATGTCAGAATTTAAAATGTTTTATTGTTATTACATATCTGTTCGATTCCAAAGAAGAATTATTAATGTCAAGTTCACAAAAGTTCCGAATTTGCATTACATTATCTATACTTTCCGTTTCTTCATTACTAGAGAAGTCAGACAACAAACTGTCATTACTTCCATAACCATTTAGTGAAATTTCAGATTTATCTGAGTCAATATCAGAGTTATCTTAAGTTATAAGCTGCTCATCATCATTCATTTCTTCTTTTATTTTAGCTCCAAATTTACAAGAAATAGTATTTCGCAGTAGCCGGAACACCGAGCTAGTGAAAAGAAATTTCGTGCTTTTACTTGCGTAAAAGAATTCAGTAAAACCTAAACTTGAAACCAGTTGTTTTGCAAGTCTAACTTTACTGAATTACTAGTGCCATGTGTTAGAAGCATTGCACACAAGCAAAAAATTTGAGCAAATCAGTGTATTAGACTAGAAAAACATGTTACCCGAGCACAGCTCGGGAAAATACAAAAAGTGCCATTTCCAAGTACCCGAATGGCGTTCGGGCAGAACTGGGAAGTGGTTAAAGAAGATTAGTAACATTTTATTTATGTCTTACTAACAGTTAGCTTTTTGCTGATTTTTTTTTCTTATATGTCTCATTTTGTCATGTTCTTACTCTGTCAGGTTTAATAAATAGCAGGCAGATTTTATGTCAAACGGCATACCTTAAAATGAGAAAGAAGTAAAATAATAATCACCATGATTCGTAACAGAAGACTAGCTGTTGCCATGGCTGCTCTTTCTTACAGAGAGACCAGCATTGGGAAAAGTACATGGGTAAAATAGGTAAAAACTCTTAGCATGAAAAGATAAAAAAGGAGACATTTTAAAGTAATTTACATTGCTATTTTGCTTTTGCTCAGAATTGTTTTGTAAACTGTATTTTATAGTATTTATTACCTTATTTGTTTTTCAGGTTCAAATTATTATAATAATAAGTCGCCAAAATGTACGTGACTTTATAATATGACAGGGAAAATACTATAGTATACATGGGGACACTTTATAATTCAACAGGGGCAAATAATGCTTTATTTTAATATTATTTCTTAAATGTAACTTTGATATATTATCTTTATTTAATAAAATTTATCAATGTCATATTTTTTTTAAAATATAGTCAAAAATTCTGTATAGAAATTCATTTTAAAAGGATAAAAATGTCAATAACTCGCCAAATTTAGAGCCGTTTAATAAAAGAATTCACACCCACAACACGGTTAAGAGCTTTTTATTAGGAAAAAAGAATTTTTTTTGAAATGCTTACGTTTCACTTTCTGCCTAGAAACTTGAGTATTGTAACGTTTAGATTAGAAATAAGAATGAATTTTAATGATAATCCATGAAATATTTCTCAGTGAATCACCAAAAATTTTCCTTCAAAATGGCAGTTGTAAGCAATTATCATGAAGAATTGCACTTTCTTTTAAAGTTTTAATAATTAGCTGTGATATTATTAAAGCTTGTCTCTTCTAAAGTGGGGACAGAAAGTAAACTAAATTTCTGAAGACACTGGAATGAAAAAAAAAAAAAAAAATTGATAAAGTTTTTAACAAAATTTTTACAATCGGATATAGTTTTGCATCAGTTTGCTTTCATCTGTAAAGATGCAGAATGAAACTGTTTTAATGCAATCAATAACTGAAGATTTATTTTTTATACCAATTTCTTCTATAACTGCAGTCGTTTTTGTTCTTGCATTTGAGTATTTCTTAGCAATTTTCCTGTCGGGAAACATTTTCTTAAAAAAGCTGCAGCATGATCCATTGCATTCAGGGGCAGTTTCTCCACTAAAAAGGTAGAAAACAGGCATTCTACATTAATAACTTTTGATCCTTTGTTTCCACAGAAAAATGAAATTTTTTTTCCAGTACAACTCACGTTGTCCGTGGGAATGCACATGTTTACAAATATTAGCCCTTCCACCTTGCGAAATTGAAAAATTGCAATGACAAACGATACACATTGCAATATTACATTTCCTTGACAAAAAAAAATAGAAGGAAAGTTATCTGTGTACGATTTTTGAAAAGTAAATGAGTATTTTAAATTTTTTGTAGACATAACTAAGACAAAAGATTGCAGTTTCTTAAACTGTTTCTGGGGAACATGTGAAACTTGTGCTGCTGACTGGCAAGACGAATGAAATAAACAACCTCAATTTTGCTTTGTGTTCATTGGTTACTATATGCCAGATGATCCACAACAGCACTCGATTCTCATTAGAGAACCGGAACACAACATTTTTTGAACGTAGTTCAGATTCTCTTACAAAAAGCAGAAACGTGCCACATTTCCGTGATAAAATTACTTTCTTTTTTTTTTTTTAATGTGCATCTAGAGAAAAACAAGTGCTTTCAGACATCAAAAATCACTTATTGGGGGAGAAATAATGAAGTATAAGAAAAAGTACATAAAAATAATGAGAAATTTTCAGAATAAGAGAAAGTTGGGAGAAATGTGCTGAAAATCGGGTTAGCAGGAGTATGGTCAGAAATCGGGAGAGTTGGCAACTCTGCTCTTTCGAGACTCAACAACTTTGCTGGTCAGAAATCGGGAGAGTTGGCAACTCTGCTCTTTCGAAACTCAACAACTTTGCTCTGGATATTATATTTTTCTATATGCTATATCCTAATGCATCCCTTAGTTACTTATATGTGAACATTCCAGATACCTAACAAAGGGTCTATGATTTTGATACACAAAATATGAATACCATAAGTAAAGTTTTGAAATCGGATATTATTTATGATTATGAAAAACTGTTTTATATACAGTTTAATAAGGTATATACATCACTAAAAGCTATAAGTAGAGCTGTAGTAGTTAAGCTGTAGTGTCACTAGCAGAAGTAATGACTTCAATGAAATAAATAAGAACAATATTTTTATCAAAATACATAAGTTTTATTTTATACAAATCGTCAATAACAAAAGAGCGCAACAAGTAAAGATAAAATCTTTTCTTGGTTTTCCAAGCATAAGAATAAAAACAGCTCTCAATATTTTCTTTATTTATAAGTCCTTTGATCTTATTGTTATTGCAGTAGTTTACAGGCGATTTATCACACAATGTCCGAACTAGGGAAGGAAAAAAAAAATTATTATTAAAATATAGAAAAGAATTAAAATGTGTATCTATGTTATGCTACTTAAAAATCCAAAGATTATAACTGAAATATCCTTTTTATATTTTATACACACATATATATATACATGTTACAGTGAAACACCAAAATCTGGAGAATGTCGACTTTCACCAGTGAATGTCAACATTTACATAGTCGTTTGGTGTATGTCCGAAATATTTTCCAAATACTCTTATTTCTGACTTACACCGATGAATTCCGACATTCACCACGTACTACTAATGGTGAATGTTGAACATATAAGTATATTATATTTCCTTCTCTGTAATTCATTCGCGAAAAAACGCACTTGAGACTCAGAATAAGAAAAGAATATAAGAACTTAAAACACACAGTACATTCAAAATGAGAAAGGAAAATAATAGAAGTTATAAACTTACCAAATTCTGTGATTCAAATCTTATTTATTGCAACAACTTAAACTATTATGACACTTTGAATTGCACAAGAGGCCTTTGCTTTTACAACTGCATTTATTTGTGGAACACTTCCTTTTGGAATGGCAGCGTGTACATATACTCCTCTCTTTTCGACCTACACCAGAGCATATCTGTGATTGTCGACATACACCGGTGAGGGTCCGAATGTACAAGAATATAAAGAAATATTCGATCTTTCACCGACGTATTTGTTGAATGTTGACATTTTTCGGTGAAAGTCGACATTCTCCAATTTCGGTCTTTCACGGTAACATATATATATATAAAACCTGTTATTGCATACGACATGTGATATTTATCTGTAAGGAAGTGTTACAAGTTTCCTTACACGTAATGGTAATATTGGTAGAGCAATTTGAAAGTTTATTATTTACCCTTGGGCATTCTGCACAAAAGACATAGTCTAATATCTTTTGTTACGTAGAATAATATTCACAGCAGATTTACTAGTTCACTGTTTACTCTGAGAAAGACTAGTCCACTAGAAATGCATCTTCATCTATTAGTAATGGCAGACTCTCATTGGGGTGAAATGTGATCTGGACCATGACCCCCAAGATAGATTTATCACATCATGTTTTTCCAACCTCCCCTTACACACAATGAGTCGAAAATGAAAAGAGGTAAATGATAGCTTATTTTGACAAGCTCTCTGCACAGCGGGGCTGTATCAAAGACGCAAAGAAGGGGAATCACTAGCTCTGAGTGGATACTCTCTCAGCACACATCCTGTGAGATCCACAACTCTCTCTTTTATCAACGAACAAAGTGGTTTGACGGCTTTAAGTGATATCCATGAAAAGTCCCTGAGAATATACTCTATTATTCTCTGAACTATGAATTGCACTGAAATGTCATACTTAATATATGTATTTTATTTTTTCACCCCATCTGCATAGATGGAAATATTATTTGGTTTAAATTTCATTATCACTATGTTGTGTCAATATGAATGACATTGTTGAACTGAAATTTTTAAAGTTACATTCAATTTTTTAAAACTTAAATTATTAGTTAATACTTTACTTTTTAATAAATACTTTTCTTAAAAAATCTCATTAACTGAGAAAGCTATAGGATTAAAAATCTGGAAATTTTAAAAGTAACAACTGTAATATATGAAATTTAAGTTACTATATTGTTTCTTCCTAAATGGATAATTATATTTTGCAAGAAACATTTTCAACAATGTGCAATTTTTTATTTCAATATAGTTTAAAAGCATACTACATAATAATTAGCCTGTTTCAAAGATGTGGTCTCACGCCTTCAAGTTCTCTCAATACTTCATATTCTAAATGAAGTAAATGAAAATAATTGACTGATGGAGTAGTCGACTACTTTGGCTTTGTTATGATCACATCTATAATTTTTTTTTTCTTTTTTTCATTTTTATACAAAGGATTAGGTGGATTAAAAGTACATATAAACCTTATGCTTTTAAACAGCAATGAAAGAGAACATATTTTAATTATAAATTTTGCAAAGGACACAACTATTCTTGAGTTTCGATGAAGTACATAAACAATGAATCCCACAAAAATGTAAGATATATATTATTATAGCCATGTATAACATAAATATGAGCCAGTTTCCATTAGAAACTCTACGAAATTGCCCCTGCTCTCAGGCAATGTCACACATTTTTGCTATTCATGAAAGAGGAAGTAGCATATCATAGGAGTTTGGGGCTAAACAAATGATTCATAGGAGTTTGGGGCTAAACAAATGATTCTTCTTTCAAGAAATAATTTTTTTTTTTTTTTTTATCTTTATTGGTATGTCTTGTACAAGTATACACACTCTTCAAATTCTATATTCTAAATAGTGTTTTGAATGTTCAGGATTTCTCAGGACATAAGATAAAGCTTTATAAAACTTACTGAATCTTTGCATTGCAATCATACATATCTTAGAAATGAGTTCTCACAGGACCCAGGATAAGATACATTGGTGAGTGAAATTATCTTCCTTTTCCATCTTTTCAAAAAGAGTAAAATTCTCAGATATTCTCCGACTCTCTGCACTCTGTATTAAGAATTCATTTGCATGGAGAGCTCAATAATACCCTTTAAGTATGTAATATTGTGCTTTGACTTATTACCATTCATGTCAACTAAGAGTAAAAACCCAAAGATTCTTGGGGGGGGAGTATTCAGGTAAGTCAAAGTGAATTTTTATAGAGAAAACTGACTGACATATACCAGGTTATTTTGAAGCAATTAAAGGGGAAAAATTTACAAAAAATGAAAAATTAATTTCAATTTAATTACAGTAGCCTTTTTTCTTCTGCAAAAAAACTAATTCAGAAAGAGAGCTTTATAATGCACATTATTACCTTATTTAAATCAACACATTCAAAAATCACTAAAATAAAAGACACTTTAAAACATGACAGAATTTAAAATGTTTTGTTTAAAAAAAGTGACTTTAATATATTATTTTAAAATATAACTTTAATATATTATTTAAAAAATGTAACTTTGGGATATAACCACGAGTCTGGCTCGTGGTAAAGAATTTGTGCCATAAACAAAAGCCACGAGTCTGACTCGTGGTAAAGAATTTGAGTCATAAACAAGAGCCACAAGTCTGACTTGTGGTGAGGAATTGGTGCATAAAATGCCACGTATTATCATTAGAACAAGTGATTGGAGTTATTCTCTACATGAATATTTTTCCTTTGATTGTAGCGTCAGTATTTTGTTTTTTTCAGTTGTTCCTAACGAAACTAAATGATCTGTGCTTACTGTGACAAAACTGGATGACCGTAAAACTTCGTTTCAAATATAATTTCGTATAAAGAATTAAAGAAACTTTTATACCCATCATGCAATTATTTTTGTCAACTGATCAATTGATTATGATTACACTCTAGACATCTTAAAATTATTATTTGTACCTAAACATTGTTTATTATTTCACAATTCCTTTAATTACACTGAAATATATATGTCATGAAAAGTATACATTTTGCGCCAGTTCAGGTACATGGCTGAACAGTTGAATGGCACAGCGTGCGACAGACTTTCTTGCTTACTACAGCTCGCGCAATTGGCAGATATCATGTAGGCAAAGGGTTAATATATTATCTTAAATATAACTTTAATATATTATCATTTTTAAAAACGTAACTTTAATATAGTATCATTATTTTATTAATATCATTATATTTGTTTAAAAAATCATCATGAAATTTGTAAGTCACAGAATCAAAATTTTTGTAAGTAAACTGATCTTAAAATTGTGAAATTAAACTTAGTGATGGATAACAGATGAATCCTTATTCACAAAAGGGAAGAACTAGAGAAGATATTCAAGTAGCTTGATGAAACATGCTTTAGATAAAGATTCGGTGATAAGCTATTAAACTGGCGTAGTTTTGGTATTTTTAAAAACTAACTTTGTGCATAAATTCGTTAAACTATAAGTCTTTGTAAACAAAATTCTCAAAAGCTTGAAAATATGCAATGGACATTTTTGCCTAAATCTCTTTTCTGGAAATCTTAGTCTGATGTAATTTGCACTCCCATGGTTCTCTAGAACCCCACAAACAATTGAACTCTTGCAGTTACTGACCATTTAAAAAATTAAATAATTTTCTCCAAGCATCCTCAATTGCATAAAAATCCCTTTCTCAATGTCTGAGACAAATATTATAAGTCTGAATGTAACTATATTTTCTTTAAAAATTTAAGATAATATTTTTAAAATTTGTTTTTATACTGTATACTTTAAATGTTTTCATGTAATATTCCTATTCCTACTGTTAAAAAGAATAGTAATATTACCAGATGCAAAGAAAACATTGAATTAACTCTCATTGATGGTTTTAAGTAGGCCTATGACATCCAGTTCCCTATTAGAACTATATGATATTCAGCCAGTATATATAACATTTTTTAATATAAATGCAAGGGAAAAATTTTTGAATTTCTTGATTTCAATTACATTTCAAATTCCTTTTTGTATCAAAATAATCACTGTAATTTGTTCATGATAATTTCTACTCTGCCTTGGGAACTTTTTTATGTTTTAATACATACAACTAAATGTAACTGCTTTCCAAAAGTAGTATTTAAATTTTTGACTACTTCCCTTAAAACTAGTTTTATTGTAGTTTATCTCAAATTTTTTATGACTCAATCGGCCAAAGGCTAATATCGAATTTCAGACATTACTCTTTTATACTGGGAAATTGAGAGTGGGAATTCCTCTCATTTTTCCAGTATAAAAAAAGACTTTCTTTCCTAAATTGCTCGATAAATAACTTCCTTCATAACTTTCAAATATAACATTTAAATTCAGCAGAGAAGTAAAAATAAGAAATGCATATAAATACAGTTTTATTGATAGACTTGGTTTCTTTATCCCTCACTTTTCTAAAGCTTTTCTTAAAAGTGTAAAATTAAATTCTTATTTTACTTTCAGGGGCTTTTATGTTTGGATCCCTTATAATGGACGTCAAATGCATTTAAAAAAAATTACCTAAGCTGCATTAGATAGTAACCTAAATTTGAAATTATTTATTTTCATAACTGATACTTTTATTTCCTTCAAAACTCTATCTTGAAAAAGAAGTAAATACAATAAAAATATAATTTTATTGGGGAAGAGAAACTCTCCAAAGAACAAAATAAGCCTTTCCAGTATTAAATGCATAAGGTTTAATGAATTCAAAAAGAAGATTTAATGAATTCAAAAAGAGTATCAATATATAAAAATCTCAAATTATCTTACATGTTGGATTTCCAGTTCGGATCAAAATTTTTCTTCAGGTTTTGCCAGCATTTATAATATTCATGATCTAACTTCTGGCAATTCTTTTCTCCCCAAGAAGTGACTCGCAAACTCAAAGAAGTTTCAAACATGAAGGCCTGAAAATGCATATTCGATATGAATTGTATAACAAAAGTATAATACAAAGAGATTAAATGCACTTGATAACATACATAAACAGAAAACAGACCATAGTATTTTCAGCCACTTTCTCTGGACCAAGTTTAACAGTGGAAGCCTTTTGAAAGCAGTCTGCATCTGGGCCATGAGGTGTCATGATGCTGTGTAATGTAGCACCACCGGGAAGAAATCCAGTTTCCTAGAAAAAATAAAGTAGTAAATTTTTTTTTCTCTAACTTTTACAAATTATTCTACGTATCTGTATTCTGCAAAACAATAAAACAGACTGAAATTAATTAAGGAAAAAACTCATTACAACATCTTCAAAAATTGTAATTCCTTCTGAACCTTTCTTGCATTAATTCTCAGTACAAACTTGATTCAGGCATATAAAATCCATTAAGATATTTAAGTATTGTATTTGGGAACTGTTCTAGCCTATTTGTACGAATTTAACACTTCCTAATAATAATTCTTTGTACAGATCTAACACAAAATAAAATAATTTTAAAAAGGAAAGGGGAGAAAATTATGACAATAACATGCGATTCTTCACATTTTAGAATTTTTCAAAAATTTTTGCACTAGTAGTATTGTAATTAGAAATGGACTCAAGTAATTCCTATAATGGAGACACATCACTGATTTTGAAAATTCACCGAGTAGAAGTATTTTACCCTTATTGCAACCAATGTGCAAAACAGCATGCATTTATTCGTTTATAAATTTCTATCATTAACTGCAAATTCACTGATAATTATGTTAAATTTATATAGTTGTCAATAGTTCATATATGTATATATATTAATTCTATCATATTATGAAATTAAAATATGCCGATTTTCTATATATACTAAGAGAAAAAATATGTGAATTCTACCACATTTTTATAAGCAATATTAAAATTAATTTCACAGAAATACTTTTGTCTAATATTTTTTGTGGATACTTCATGTACAAAAATGCATAATGAATTTTTTTTTTAAAAAAAGTAAAATATGACAGAGGTTATAAAAAAAGTCTACAATTTAAGATCAATAGTGTTTTTTGAAAAATAATAATAATGATTAAGCAGTTTGGCAAAATAAAAAAGTACAACTTACCTTAGCTTCATAAGTTCCAAAAACAAGTCCCATAAACTCGCTCATACAATTTCCTATAAAAAAAAATGTTATTACAGTGCTGACTTTAATTTCTTTCCCCCATTTAATGGTTCACATTAAACATTAAAATACACATTAAAAGTGGGTGCTTGAAATATATGAATAAATAAAAAAAACATGCAATGGAATACATTAAAAAAAATTTCCATATCCAGACCTTTTAAGAGAAAAAAAAAAAGAGAACATTGAAATTTGTAAGCAAAAAGCATTCAAAGGATGAAAGTTCCACTCTAAAGGCATTCTGGACAAGTTTTTTTTTTTTAATTCATAAATAATCTGAATAAAACCAGTATGAGTGAAATATATGTAAAATTAAATGCAATCAGTAGCTGATATAGAAAAATGCTTTGGAAAAAAAGGAAAGAAGTTGCTCTTTTTATGGCTAAGATTAAACTAAAAAATTAATTAATTTCAGTATAAAATTTACTTAAATGCAGATAAATTTGACAGAATTTCATAAGCAAGTTAAAATTAATTTAGAAATGACACATCAGTGTCTCTATCATTATAACCGATAGCCAAAAATTATCTTCACTTGCATAAAAATAATTAATGAAGCAAGTAATAAGTGTTTTTTTTTTTTTTTTTTTTTTTTTTTTTCCATGGAATGAGCATAAGCCAAATCTAAATTAGCAACATGTAATTTTATGTGATCAGTTTGCTTTTTAAATGTAAATTAATGGCACAATGCATCCAAAGGCATAGAAGTGTTTTGCACAAAAGTATGTTTTCCCACAGATTTCTTATAATTGGGGTTGGATTCTCAGGTTTTGTTTATGTTAACCTTTTAATCGTCATTAATGAACTCAGCTCACATTCCAGTTATACAACACAATGTGCATTTCAAAGTTATTGCGCATATTTGGGGAAAAAGAACTGCTTAATCTCACAGCCACCAGGGCTAAAAACAGCTTTTAATGTACAAACTATCTTTGAGAAAGACAGCTACTGGCCATTTAGAAATAAAGATCATTATGGAAACAACAAGATGGCTGAAAATTTTCAGGTAGCTAGTCTCGAAACATTCTGCAAATCTAAACACTGAAGCTACTGTCAGGAAGATTGGAAAGACAGTAGAAAAAACACAATTGCTCCTCAATATCTACCCATCACTGCCCACTATAAAATTAACTTGACATCTAGGCAGCAACTTCTGCAGCTTGCAGCTGTCACTGAACTTTTTGTATTGCATTGAAACACATGTAAAAGGCTTAACAAAAAATGTCTTTATGCCTGAAAGTGATTACACCAGTATTTCTATTTCATTTACCTTACAATGAAAAAAGATCTACATGAAATGGCATAGAAAACATTAGAGCTGGTTAGATTATTTGAATATAGCAAAGTACACAAGGGCTATCTGCTTAAAGCAAGGAATGCTTTAATGGAGGACTTGCTAAGGATAATTAGATCATATTCATGCTACCCACAGGGAAAACCAAACATGCAGCCAACCCATTCCATGCATTCAAATTCAGGTGAAACTACCAGTATTCAGTAGTCTTGACTACTCGGTCACTGGTATATTCTAATCATATAAACTGAGGGCATTTTCAACAGTGAACAATGAATTTTCATAAATTATGAGATATTGTCCTATATCAAGGCTGTGAGTCAATATGCTGTAGAAGTTTCAAGGATTGTACAGCATTTCAGGTTATGCATGCATTTGCAAATAATGCATAACAACAGTTAGATACAAATAGTTCTAACAGGTAATTTTTTGCTCAAGATATCTTATGCTGAATAAAGGTCAACAAGGAAAACTTTTACAGTATTAAACACAATAAATATAGTCAATGATGCAATATATACCACTACTGATAAAAAAGAAATAGTATAGTATGCCATTTATCATCATCAATACAGACTTAAAATCCATTTAAGTTCTGAGGAATTCTACTTCACATTATTTCTCTGTATGGTGATATCCTGTAGTCAGCATGCTTACCAGATTACATAGGAATGTATACAGTCTTGCTCTAATAATACCTAGAAGAAAGCAGAGCCCTTCAAATGTGTCTCAGATCACTCAGATTTAAGGATATAACCCAGAATGCAATTACAGCCTCAGGAATTAATAGATGTTGAGTGACAATTCAAGGTTGGATTTTGAGAATATACTTGGTGATTTGCAAAACGTTTGTGCCCGATTTTAATAAATGGCAGATGTTTAATAGATGCTGATGTTTCTTTTATAATCATATTATTAAATGACATTTGTCTAAGTGTAATGTGTCAGAAATGAAAATTTATTTCTTTGCAAGGTGAAAATTATTTACGAGGCGTATTCGGAAACTAAGTACTATTTTGGAAAAAAAAAAAAAAAAAAAAATAGTAAAACAATTTTTTTGAATCCAATTTTATTTTTACATGAAAATACACATCTTAATTTTTCAACATAGTTTCTGCCAACTATCAAACACTTGTCATAGCGGGTGACCAGTTTTTGTATACCATCGTAAAAGAAACTTCCGCCAGCTTCGATAACCACGACTCCACAGCATTTTTCGTGTCATCGTCAGATCCAAAGCGCTTGACACCAAGCTCGCGCTTCATGTGCAGGAACAAGTGATAGTCGGATGGCGCAAAGTCCGGGCTGTATGGCGGGTGATTGAACTGCTCCCAATGAAACTGTCGAATTAACGATTGAGTGACACCAGCAGTATGGGGCCGAGCATTGTCATGGAGCAACACAATTCCTTTACTGAGCATTCCTCTTTGTTTGTTTTGAATGGCACTCCTTAGTTTTGTTAAAGTCTCACAATAGCGTGCCGCATTAATGGTTTCACCTCTGGGAAGAAATTCAGTAAGCAAAACGCCTTTCCTATCCCAGAAGACAGTGCACGTGATTTTTTGTGATGACATTGTCACTTTGAACATTTGTTTTTTCAGAGAATGCGTGTGTCTCCACTCCATCGATTGTTGTTTCGATTCTGGTGTGAAATGACACACCCAAGTTTCATCACCTGTCACAATTTGGTTTAAAACGTTTCTCCCTCATCACTGTACTGCGTGAGAAATTTCAGGGCACTACCAAGTCGTTTTGTTTTGTGAACATCAGTGAGCATTTTTGGAACCCATTGGGAACACAGTTTGCGATAATTCAAGCGGTCAGACAAAATTTCGAACAAAACAGTATGTGAAATTTCTGGAAATGCCTCTGAAAGAGTTGTCATTGTGAAGCGTCTGTTCTCATGAATTGCTTCAACTTTCTTTACCAAATCATCGGTGACAACAGAAGGCCGACCACTCCAAGCCTCGGCGTGGACATTTGTTCGACCTGCATTAAACATTCTTACCCACTTTCTCACCATTCCATCACTTATCGCGTATTCACCGTAAACTTCTGTCACTTGATGATAAATTTCGGCCGGTTTAACATTCCTTGAGTTCAAAAATTTAATCACAGCACGAATCTCACAGTCAGCGGGAGAACTAATTGTCTTAAACATTTTGAATGTGCACAGCAAACTGAAAACACAACATAGAGCAACCAAAATGGCGACAATTGAAAGTCAGTGTGTAAGGATCCTAAGTTTTACTAACGTTTATTTTATTTTAGATCTTTACTATCACTTCTTATTTTCTACTTCTGGCCAGAATTAAAAGGCTTTTAACTATTTATGCAAATTTGTCTTGCTAACGCCAGTACTTAAGTTGTGGCTTTTTGCCAAGCAAGAGAGAGGAAGGAGTTATTAGAAGCAAGGCCGCTTGCCATAGTATTTTTACTCGGTTTGCTGGTTGCCTTCGAGGCCAGAGGTTTAATCCTCGCGATAATTTTAAACGTATCGTAGTTTTAGCAGCTCTCTGTACTACATACGGCTTTTCGTTAATTTACGGCCAATCTTGGAGTTAGGCACTTGTTTATTAATCCAAAATTAGTTTAGTTAGAGTTTTAGTTAATATTTTTATATTCTTACGTTCAGACCACAAGTGGTTGGTCTTTGTATTCCGAAGTCCGGAAATCATTGTAAAGAGAGAAAAATAAAGGGTTTCGTATACCCTTCCTGTGTGTATTGTCTACTTCACAATTTATTTAACATAGCTTCAGTAAGCTCCCTGTTCCGAATCAGGACAGTTAATGTTTCCAAAGCAAGTAAAGAGGAATACTAATCCTGATAAGTGAACAAGAAAGACTAGTGCGCATGCGTGGGACGCCTACCACAACGCTGCAACGGCGCTAGAATGAAACGGTACTTAGTTTCCGAATACGCTACGTATTTAAAATTTGAATATTAATTTGGTGAAAATTATTAATATATTTTAAATTTATTTATTTGCAATTTTTCATTAATGAAAAATTGCATGTTTTATGAATTTAAAAAAGGACTGAAACTTGTAAACTGCAACAAAAAATATTCAAGATGTTTTGCATGGATCATGCTTCCTGCTTTAGTCTCCTAAAAGGTAGTTTAGTTGAATTCGAAATGTCAGCTTCAATTTAAATGATAAATTTCACTTTAGACTAAGTTCTAGTATTGATAATAATTTTATTCATGATTTAATAAATAATTATCTACAGATTACCTTTGATAACTAAACAAATGGTAAAGAGATTAATGTTGACAGTTCAATTGCATTTAAAGCAATTTGGATACTTAGGAACTTGATATATCAATTCCACACATTTTCATAAAACGGAAAACTGAACTGCGCTTCCACAGCCCTTTCTCTTTTATTCCCCATCAACAAAACAAATCTTTCTAGGATAAAATCATAACTGGAGATGAAAAATGGGTTGTGTAAAATAACACATAAGAAAAAGAAGATGGAAGCATGGAAGTGAAAGAGCTAAATCTATGGCAAAGGCTGAACTGCATCCAGTGAAAAGAGTTGCTATGTGTCTGGTGGGACTGCAGATGAATAATTTTTAAAGAACTTTCCCACAGCCAAACTATAACTGTGGAGAAGTACTGTGAGCAGCTGATTCAATAGAGTGTTGAAATCTAAACAAAATGTTTGACAGCACTTTACTACATATTACTCAACAAATACTGGAAAAAAACTTATTTTGGGGAAATCCACCAGCACCCACTGTATTTCCCTGAACTTGCCCCTTCAAATTCTCATCTGTTTCAGTCTCTGCAAAACACTCTGAATGGTAACAAATTTGATTCTATGGAAGAAGTCAACAACTACCTTCTTCTTCAGTTGCACTACAGTCTATTACAGGCCAAGGCCGTCTCAATGAGCTTCCTTCAACGGATCCAATTAGTCGCTATGGTCCACCAACGATTGATTTTTCAAGTTTTGAGATCTGCCTCCACAGAGTCTATTCATTTTGTGCAAGATCTTTCTCTTTTCCCGATATGCTCTACATGTGCGAAGGTCACCTTTTTAACAGCATTCAAGTTGGCACATTTAAAAATATGTCCAAAAGAAACTATGCAATTTCTGCAATGAAGAAATTCAAAAACTTCTAAAATGTCTGGGCACATAGAATATGATGGCAAATATATTATTGGTTAATATATACTATTTTTCATGAAAATGTTTGTATTTAATTTGGTTTGAAATTAAACACGAACTCTTCCAATCACCCAATATATGACAAGCATTTGGAGATTATTACTTTTAGACAAAATTATGTAGTCCAGTCATGTTCATGTTAAGAAATAGCATTCAGTATTGGTAAGTGAATACTCTAACTCAGAGATAACAAACAACTTTATATTGAAGACGACAAACAGCAAACCATAAACTATCTTAAGAAAATTTTGATCCCCCCCAAAAAAAATCATGGTGTATCTCTGATGTCTTTTATTTGGATTAATACTGTTATATTTTAATAGACCCTATCCTTATGAACAGAAATAAACATAGATTTGAAATGAAAGATCACAAAACATATTTTATATGAACAAGAGATTTCTATTGTAATAATTTAATTTAAAAATCTATTCTAATCAAACCAAGATCTTTCATAATCTAGTTTAATAATCTTGGATCTAATAATCTCACATGTTCATTTTTAATTTACTCACTGTGATAATAAGGCGGTCTGAAAGTTCCCTCAGCTACTCCCCACCGAGGAGGGAATATGATGAAATCGGCTACTGCAATACCTGGACGAGTAGATGGACATGTCAGAACTGTAAAAATGGATGGGTCCTAAACCAAGTGAAAAATTTCATTTATAAATAGGCAACTATTTAAAATGAGAGAGTATTACAGTTTTATTATTAAATAGTATGAACAAAAATAAGAAAACTTTTCAGTGTGCTATATTCATATTTTTTCTTTGGAACATTAAAGTTTAAAGACCAAAGAATTCATTAACATACAAATCTGTAGTTGTTTAAAATAATACTTAATCTCATTTTTTAATATTATCCACAAATTCCATTCTTAATTTTTAAAAAATCATTATATACAGTATTAAAATTTAATAAAATAACAAAAGAAAACTAGTGACTATGTACTTTACTTATATTAGCATGGCCCTTGATTATGGCCTGTAAAATTCCTAATCAATTTCCATTCTATACAATAACCATGATTTTTTTTGCTCTTTTATGCCAGCCCTGAGGCCATCATTATAATGTGAATGTAGTGACAGCACATATGTATATAATGTAATTGTTTACAATTTTTAAATAATACTTTATGGTATCTTTTGAATTAACTTTAAGTATGCATTATTTGCATACTGCTTCCCCCTCTTATTTATATTTTTCAATTTTGGGAAGAAGGCATAGATATGGTGATATATTTTTACTTCAACAATTACATATACTTTTACTTAGTTGTATTATTGTATTGATAGTCATCAAAGATATGTAGTAATGAACTAGTTTGAGCCAAATATATAGAAATCAAATGAATATTTATTTGACAGAATTTTGCACATTTTATTATATTGAATATTGCACATTTTAATAAATAAAATGAGTGAAAAGTCATTCTCTGTTTTTAAATTTTTATATCTGGTAGAATAATGCACATGCTTCAATAAACTATTATGTTTTATAATATAATGCATGCCATTACTTTTTATCTATTTTAGATCTCAAGAAATTCCCACAGAGATAGTCAATCGAATAATGATTGAAAAAAAGAGATAAAACTGCTGTAACATACAAGACATGGTAGTCTGTTATCTAAATGCAACAGCAGTGAAGATGTTTACATGATATATATATACATTATTATTAAATAAAAAAATAATTAAAAACTGCCACAGAAATTTAATGACTACTGGTATTGTAACAAACAGAAACAAGAAGATAATTAGTGAGTTTTCAGTGCCAACATATGAGAGAAGAATGAATGAATATAAAGAGATATGATGTTATAAAATAGGCTAATAAAGAAGCATATTATAGCAGACCTCGCCAGCATTGATATCTCTAAAGTTAAGTCTCTATAGTCTATTTGTCAAGTCATGTTTAGTAGTCCTGTCCAATGCTTAAAGAAAGAAAATAGCAGAAAATTTATCTGCACATTGAAGAAAACGTGTAAAAAATGCTTGAAGGTACACTATATAACTACTAAGGAAAATTAATAGTAAAAACAATAAATTAAAAGTAAAAATATGTGCAATGCTAATTTGGGTATTAGGGGTACAAACAAATTTTCTAAAAGAGAGTGGTATTTTATCACCCTGTACAATCTTCACAACTGATACAGCAAAGTACACACACACACAAAGAAATTGGCAAATAGTCTGTTGCAGGATTTGATTTTGATCATTAAATAATGGTAGGCTATCTGTCTTAACATCTGTCTTTGTTGAGTTTGAAAGTAAAAAATATTTTAAAGCTTCTTTTCTGGGGATGTTCCCTCTTTTGTCATTTTTACAAATAGTTAAATTATGTTGTAAAAACAGCATTTATTCAACACTCTTTTGGTAAAATTCTCTGATGCTTTATTTTAGGAAATAGTATATCTGCTTTTAAAAGCAGCTACTGACTATATATGCCACTAGCAAGTAAAAAAATTGGACTGCATAATCGATAAGGTTCTGCACTGTGGCTACAACCATCACTCAGCCAAAAATACAAAGGATCAATAATAATCAAGGAAAAATCAACAAAAATAACAAAATGGCCCTTATAAAATAAAAACTACAGATACACTTTTATGATATATATTAAGCAGCTGGGTGTGGAATAATTTAAAATTGATTAATTTCAGATTTGAACAATGAACCATGAATATATGAATATATACAATATGAAAATAATGCCAGTAATTTGAAAAATTATAAAACAATTTAAAAAGATATTTAAAAATGTATAATTGTATTAAAAAGTAAATTCATGCAGGAAATTTAATTTAAATAAAGATTTCAATGCAAAAATAAACTTATCCAATAGCACACACATGCAAATTTAGAATAAAAATTTAAAGTAATTGTGTAACCCCAAATCCAGAAATTTCAGATCCCTTTCTTTCTGGATGCAAATGAAAATCGAAAATATGCTGTAGTCAAATTTTTCAATAAAACCACTGTCAAACTTTTATTAATTAGCTGTAATACTTATAACTATTGTTAATACTCTTTCAAAATTTAATATTTTTGAAATTTTATTTTGATTAGGTCAAGGACTAAAAATAGACTTATGATAACTTATCAAATGTATAAAAATATGGTAATCTAATCAAATGTATAAAAAGAAAATTATACATTTGATTAGATTTATTAGATTACATCAAAGCAGATCAGGTCTATTTGCCTAAGGAGAAAGATAACACTGGTTGTAAGTCTTTCCAAGAGAAATTGGTTTATATTCACATGACCCATGGTAAAACAACAAAAATGCCCATGAACCCAGCATCTTTCCTAGGATTTGAATCTGGGTTGAATTAATTCAGCAATTTTAATTCTGGTAATTTATAAAACAAATTATAAATTATAAACAGGCAAATTATAAAACTGACTCACAAACACTTGAAAATCACCTTTCATGCTTAGGGTGTCAAACATATGTAAAACTAAATCTGCTATGGAATTTTAAGTACCAGTGACCAAATTATTTTACAAGATTCAAACTTTAATATGACTTCACAATTTCACTTTAATAGTGAACTCAGAAAGTTTTTAAAAATAAATGTCTTATTTAGTATTTTAAATTCTCAATTAACATAAAACTCTGTTGGGAGGGGGAGGACATTACAGAATTACAAAACAAATCTCAATGAAGAGTTACTTCTCTCATTTAATAATTAATAAATCTTTCCTGTTGCAAGGAAATACTTGAAAAGCAATTCTTCTCTAGAAAGAAATATGTGCCAATTTGATACTTCTAATAAGAAAACTTATTTTCATCAGTTCGTTTTGACTGCAGTAAAATTCTTTTAAACATAAGAAATACGTCTCAGAGGGTAGAAGGAAAGAACAACATAGAATAATACACTTTAAAAACATTTTTATCAATAATATTTACTTTAAAAACAAGTATACCATAACAAAGATAAAAACTGGTGGCCAATAAGCTATATTTATGCATATATTTTTCCGGTGAAAATAGTTTGGCTTATGCTGTTTTATAGCTGAAAAGATCCTAACTGGCAATTAACATCAATTAAATTTTTAAATGCATCGTTAAAACTAATACTATGAATTCTACAAAATAATTTCATTTTCAGCTCTTTCAAATACAGATTATTTACATAGTAATTCCAATACAGCTATGTATATTAAAAAGATTTTAAAATACGATTTGAAACGTTTAATGAAATGTGAAAATGTGTAGAATTGCAGGAGTAAGAAGAGATGCTACTTATATATACATTTACATCTGCTTACATTATGAAGTAATTTTTACACTTAAGATTTATTTTAATCCTTTGCCATATAATGAGAAAATGGATTTATGGCGGCAGAACAACCACAAATTTGACTTTTTATGGTCAACTTCATGGTAACAAGAGAATTTTTTTTTTCCCCTCCTGAAGAAGAAGGTCCTTATCTAACCATTCTTGAAACTGATAGTTTTATTTAAAATTTACATTAAAATAAGACAACCTTTTCGTCTTATTTAAAATTTTACTTTGGTGTGCTTCTCTTTCAATATAACCCATTATATGGCCTAGATGCTCAATATTTGGCAGCAGCACGATGTTATGATTCTCCAGAAAATTAAGCATTTATTTAACAAAATTTCTCTCACTAATCTCCTTCTTCCTATCTTACTTCAAAGTTTTTATTATTATTATTATTATTATTATTTTATTTTAAAATTGCAAAATATTTTTTAATACAAAATCACTTTTCTCCTTCAGCCAAATTAGCTGATTTACTAAGTAGTGAACAGATGCAGAAATTAAGACTCACTACTAAACATTTTCCTTCTTTTTTCACTTCTCCCCTACCACCACCTTTAGCACCTTTCCCCCTTTTTTTTTCTTTGAAAGTCTTTGTTTTGTATCTTTTCATATTATAGAGCTACTTGTTTCGAACAAATTTTTGCCATATTATTTACTATTAGTTGATAAAGAAAATTTGAGGAAGCTGATAAAGATTTCTTGATTTTTTTTTTTTTAAATAAACAATCACCTATATACACTGACTTCCCCCCTCCTTGGCTCAAAAAGGCATACCAAATTTCTTCCCCTTTTCCTACTAATTTTACCACTTGAAAAGTGAGAGCGAAAAAGTATGCAATGCATACTATTTCTGAAGACATGGTTTTAATGATAAACACAGCACATTAAAAAGCACACATAAAGACACACTACTACTGTTACAATATGTGTTTCATAGGACTGATCAAATTTCAACAATACTCCTTTTATTTATACTAGACTTTCTTATTTGTGCCGATATTTTATGTTAGGTTATCATAAATCTGAAGTTTCTGAATCATATGCTGAAAATATGTGTGGGGGATATGAAAGTAAAAGTGGAATATTTCATTTTTAAATACAAATTAACTCGTATCTAGTTGTATGTCTTGTGTATTCCAAGTTATTTCATCAAAATTAACTTAGTAATCAGAATTTTTGTACTTATTTTCCTTAATTTAATACTTATTTTCATTTTATTATTTCACGATGGCAAAGTGCCTGAAGGTTACCTGCCTAAGGCAGAGGTATGCCTTCACGAGGAAGAACTTCCTAAGAGAACCTTTTTTTTTCCAATGGCGGGAACTTGCCTATAACGGCATTGGCCACTTCTAAGGCCAGAAGTGGTGGCCATTTTATTGTGGAGGCACCTAATAGGCAGCCACCATTATCTCCTATGACGGAACAGACAATTTTACATCCATGCCTCCTTTGGGTCTTTCGGTATCATAGTCATGCTTCCCTAACCACTAAACCATCTGGGCAGCCCTAAGAGAAACTGGTATGTATTCATGTTACACATGCAAAAAATAATAATAATAATAATATATGAAAACAATTACGCAATCAGCTCGTTTGTCTTTATTTAACCTCAGAATTAAGTGATCCTAAATGCTCAGTCTCTGGTTGGGCTTCCATTGTTATTTTGAGTATGTTTGTTGTTTTGTAAATATTGACTGAATGTTGTTATTAATAGAATAATTCCTAAAATTATTGCTTCTGATGAATTATTTTTAATGATTTGTTTCAAAGGATTCAAGCAGATACAAACAATTTTCAAATAGTGACCCTGAAATTCTCAGAGATTCAGTACATGCATTTTAATATTGAAAAACAAAGCAGAAATATAGCATTTTAAAATTTCGAGTAAGTTGTTCAATGTGTAATGTAACCTTATTGCAGCAGTCGTTAAAAGTTCTCATACTTTTAATAAAATTGTTATTTTTGCATATTTTTTAAATCGGAGAAAATTTTTAAATTGGAGTACGAAATTTATAATAAAATAGGTGGTCTTCTATAAATGAACAGGCCTGATTAGCAACTGCAGTCATTTAATTAACAGCCTAATATAATTCCATTGTTCCATTGTTTTGGTATGATTAGTGAACAAAACTTCTCTGCACACCTCGGCAATATTTTGATAAACATATATGACATGATGCAAATTAAAGATTAAATATTTCCTTAGGAAGCACCTCTTTTAGGCCATTCTAAGTTTAGCTTGAGCCTCTATTTACGAAAATTACGAAAAAGCTTAATATTTATTTGTTTACTTGATTAAACATTTCTTTCAACGCCTGCATGCGTAAAGCATACATTACGCATAGTCGAAATTAGAAACATCTGCCCTGAAGATATGGATAGTGCTGAAAGATCAACTTCCACTTCCCCTCATCCGCAGAGCAGCCAGCGTGAAATTGATAAACAGACTTCAGAATGGTTAGAAAAACAAAGGATATGCCTTTATCCATTTTTTGCAGCAATTCCACTTTTTGTTTAATGGACTTTGAAACATACTTTTGTTTTGTAGATCCTTTACATATTAATAAATATATATCAGAAATTCTATTTGACATAATTAAAAGTTCAAGCTTTAACAGTCTGCAAAAAATAATAAGCCAGATCCAATTCAAAGATTAAGGAACAACGCAATCTGCAACATTAACTGAATTAGGTAATTTTAGCTTAGCTTATACCGTCCGTTATACATTAAACGCGCATGCACACATACATATTCGCAGCCGTAAAGATCTTACGTGCATGCGTCAATGCGACGCATGCACAGAAATTTTGTAGCTTTGAGGTCTGGATTATAGATCATTCCGGATTATGGGTGTCCGAATTAACGACTTTTGACTGTATTTGGTTTGCCTTGAGGAATCTGCTAATTAAGTTAGAATAATTCAAAGAAATGTGTTTAAATGAAGTGCAGCAAAAAATATATATATAATTTAATAGGCTGTAAAAGGGAGTGGTGTCTACATTAGATTTTTATTTACATTTAGATGTCACAAACCTCTTAAATTTAATACACACAAAATTCCTTCATGATGACCTTCCGTGACCCCTGAAAGTGGATGGTTTTTCTAATAACATATATATATATATATATAAAGATTGGAGTTGAACATAACCATTCTAAAATGACCATTTCCACAGAATCAAATCATCTATAAACTTAAAGCAATCTCTAAAAAAGGATTTTTAATAGCAAGAGAAAAAATTATAATATTTATTTATTTATTTTGAATAGCTTCATTTTGCTTGTCTGCTTGCATACACAAATTTAACATTGGCATAAGACCAGCAAAATATTTCAGGCATAAGATCTCTTTAAAAGTATGCACTCATGAGAAAGGTCAGAGGAAATTGAGACTAAAATAACAAGCAAGCAAATCCAAAAAGGCATGCATCCAAACTAATAATATAAAACTATAAAACATGACTTAAAAATGTCCATAATACATCACTCACAGCAATTTCAATGACAAAATGCTGCACTCAAACATAAAAGATAATGCAAGAGATTCAATAACAATTTATTTAAAAAATAAAGAGCACTTACTGGATGATCAAAAGAAACAGAATTGATAGCCATAAAATTAGACAGATTGTATTTATATGGAACATAATTTCCATGCCATGCAACTACATCAAATGGGGAATGCCCCTGCAAGGGAAAAAAATGATGCATAAGATATGCAAAGAAGAATAATACAATAAAACAAACATATCACAGCACTGACATACAAATTTAAATTAATCACAGAAATCTACTGCATATTAAACAAAAGCAAATTTTACTGCCATTTACATTTAAAGAAAATATTAAACTATAATATTTAGTACTTACATATCCTCCCATTGACCATTTTCGACAAACAAAAAACTTGCCAAACAATACAATTTAGTACCAGTAATCGACAAGTATGACATCCACAGTATTTAAATAAGATATTTCTTTGATTTCATGCAATTCTGATTCCTCGGTAAACTAGTTTAGTTTTTGTTAAAATTAAAAATTAGCAATTATTTCTCTATTTTTCTCATGCATTTGATGAATATTGCATTCTCTTCTTAGAAGAGACAAATTTTGAATCGGTCTTCTACAGAACTGCATGCAATGGAATATTTTCAAAAGTATCAGGCTTGTTACATTGGTGCACATATGCAATACATTGTAAGCCTCCGACGTTCAGCAAAATGGCAAAACAAAAAACACATCTCAACTAGGTGATATGACTTGATTCATGCTTAAGGAAATTTATGTGACGCAGACTTCACAAAAAAGATGACCATTTTAAATGCCTTTAAGGAGATGCTGGCCACTAGATTAAATAATTTCAGTTTTAGTGAATTTTTTGTCAAAAAATCTCTAAACTTATATTTATTTAAGTGTTCTATATGCTATATTCATAACTTTTACCTGTTGAACACCTAACTAAATAAAGGGTAATCTGTTCCACTGGAATGATTATGACAAGTTGGTATTCTTTAGCCAACTCTCACAGTTAACATGAAAATACATAAGTACCAAATATTTAACATTAAATGCTTCGGAATACATTGCAAACTAGAATTATAACTTGTTTTTTACTTTAAAAAATTCTACTACTATTTCATTTTTCAATTCGTCATATTGATAATTAAACATTTTACAATATAAGCTTCCTTTTTTTCAATAAAAATCACTAGTTACATCTTATATTTCAGGAATGGTAATATCATCAATGATGTACTGACATCATGGTAATAAATGAAGGCGTTGTTTTACTCATGAATATTATTGTTTCTTATTTTACTATCAAATATGCTATTGTAATGGCATGAAAACTATAATATAGCTATTAAAACAAAAATAATGCATGAATAAGTTTTAAATATAAATCTATCCTTCACAAAAGATTTCTAGATTTAGGTAAGTTCTCAAAAAAAGCAACTTATTTCTTGTTATTTACAGTGAGTAAAGAAAAGGCTGGCCAGTTCTATATCTCTTATTCTGTACGGCCAATCAGCAAACTTTAAACTGCCTCAAAAGCACAATTTCAGCTATATGATTTACATGTAACATTGTTATATCATAAGTGCTTTGACACAAAACAACTTTTCCTGAAATGAAAAGTTGATTTTTCCCCCCATAGCTTGATTCTACACTTCAAATTATGTATAAATATCAAATATTTTCAGCCATTGTCACTTGCGAAGTAATTTATGCTAATTAAGGTGTTCATTTTTCACAGCTGCTTTTTTTGATTTTTAACTTAAGTTCACATTTTGGTTTTACTTGAACAAGATTCCCATTCAAAAAGCTTACTCATTTTTACTACTTCAATTTCTTCACTACACTTTTTCCTTAGATATGATAATCAAGAGTACGTTTTACCGCTTAATCAATAATATGTTGTGCAACCTTTGGCCTGCAGAACAGCTGAAACTTGCCTTGGCATGGATCCATAAGTCCGTGGTAGATGACTGGAGACAGGTAGTACCAAATGTCTACACAGTAGTCATGCAGAGTCAAGTTATTCCGACATGGTAGTATTTGAGCTCTGAGCTGCCCCTCCATAACAACCCAAATGTGTTCTATCGAGTTAAAATCCTGTGAGTTAGGTGGCCAGGACATTAATTGGAGTCATCTTTATGCTCTTCGAACCACTCCAACCCAATTCAAACCTTGCTACATATAGCGTTGTCCTGCTGAAAGATTGCATTTCCAGTTGGGAAGACAAATGCCATGTAAGGACACAACTGATCTGCAGTTATATTCAGATAGTCTACAACCTTTATGATCAACCACAACTAAGGGTCCCAAAGTCAACCATGAGAACATCTTTCAAAGCATAATACCAGCTTATGTATGACCTGCTATACGAAGGGGGGGGCATCTGTTTACCTGGAAGATGGCGTACCCTGACATGATCATTGACTTGATGAATGAGACATCGTGATTCATCCAACCAGACAACTGTCTTCCACTTATCCATGGTCCAGTCTCGATGTTGCAAGGCCCACTGTAAGCATAGTTGACAATGATGTTTGATTAACAGAGGCACACAAGTAGGTCGTCTGCTACACAGTTTCACATCCAACGAATGTCTGCTCAACTGTGTGTTCTGAAACACTTGCACTAGGACATGCATTGTATTGGCTGTCAGCTGAGCCATTGTTTGCTGCTGATTTTGCTTTACCAAGCGGGAGAGTCTCTGGCATCCTTTTCCTTTGATGATGTGTAGACATCCAACACCTTGGCATCTACTGCTAGTTTCACAGTCATTTATCCACTCTGCATAAATACTAACAATGGCAGACTGTGAACAACATACCAGTCATGCAGTTTCGGAGATATTTGTTCTGAGTCTTCGGGCCATTACATTCTGCCCTTTATCAAATTTACTTAGTCAGCAACCTTTTCCCATCACTTGCAAAAGTTAGAGTAAGAATGATTCCTTACCCTTATCCAGCAGCAGTTAAATACGATTCTCGCATAGTCAAATGCCTTTCCTATCATACAGATGAGTTCATTGAAAAATGTGGGGATGGTCATCATGTTTCGGCTTTCAGTGTATATATATATATATAAGATTTAAATAAAACTGTCAGGCTCCTATGATTTTACTAGCTCAATTGCTAGTTGGATGAAAAACAGTAATTCAATAAATTAATAGACAATCATGTTCTTTGTATATAAATACTTCTTCCAAGTTATACATTTTCAATGGGGGGGGAAGTAAATTCGCATTAATACCTATGAAAAATAAAACTTTAATGAAATTATATGGCACCACAAGGGAAAAAATTCAAAGGAAACACTTCTGTTAATATGGATAAAATAATTATTATGAAACAATTCCTCTGAAAATCTATATTAAATTTTTAGAGTAAACGTTACTTAAAGAAATAAAGAAATTGCAACAGTTCCATTTAAAAAATATATCATGAAATAATTAATAAAATGGAAAACACGTTATGTTAAATACAATACAAGAAAAACGGAGTTAATCTGATCATTCTCAGAAGGAATAAAAATGATAAAGATACAAAGTGAAATATCTTGCTTCTTCTTTATAATACTATAAAGTCCAGCAGTGCTCCCCTATCTGCAGGATAATATTGGGTCAGTCAATAAATTCGTGTGCATTTTTTGGTTAATTTTTAAATAGTATAAAAAAACACAATTTAACATTTTAATCAATTATATATTTTCCTCCATTATATACGATGTCTCACCATCTTATAGCAGCTTTTTTATGCCATTGCTGTAGAAAGACTCTGGTTTTGATGCCAAAAAAAAACTGAAAAGTTAATTGTGTACAACCTGTTTAGAATTTAATTTTTATCCCAGTAAAAAATTTTGTAAGGCACGAAATAAGTGAAAATCAGCTGGGGTAATATCTGGGGAGTAAGCAGGATGTGGTAAAAGCTTCCAATTAAAGTTCACTCATTTAATACAGCGTTGTTCGAGCCGTATGCGGTCTAGCGGTTATGATGAAACGCAGAACTTTCTTGATATTCACCAATTGTGGGCGTTTTTTGATCAAATTCTGAGTTTACAGACGGCAAAGTTGTTCACTATAAACTTTTGAATTAATCGTTTGATTTGGTTCTAACAGTTCAAAACGTCTTGAAACGGGGTTCATCATCAATGCTGCTTTAATTTTTAAACCATTTCTGGGCAGTCCTTACACTAATAGTGTGTTTGTTCACCATGTATACTATTAATTTTTATCACAGCAAACCTGGCAGATTCACCACATGAAAATAAAAAATGTAGCACAGCATGTTTGTACTGATTATCTAAATTCATCTTCTATTGGTACTAAAATGTGTTCAATATTTACAAAAGTTGGTGAAGAACTGAATAATATGTTAGACAAACAATGACAAGTTTCAACAAGCTCAAAATTGTATTGTTTTAGTAAATGCGTCATAGTGAATTCCACGCATACTCTTAATGCGCATGAACTTATAGACTGACCTGATACATTACATGCATCCAATGCAGATACATGAAACCATGAATAATACTGAACACTACATATAATATAGTACACATATAATATACAAATACTGTAAAATTCAACTAACTGATTATGTGCAATACCACCATAAAGTTTATATAGTGAGATGCTACCAACATAAAATTTACTGTACATTTAAAGAATAAGTTATCTTTCTTTTAAGTATGAGGTGATTTAAAAAAGAAACCAAACTTTTGAACCAACTTGTAGAGAGAACACGTTGAAGTTATTGAATACACACAGCAGCAGGTTTAAACAACAAACTGCTATTTGTCACATTTTGCTCTTTACTGTTAGTTGTCGAGCTACAGCAACTGAAGTGAACACATGCACAAACCGTTCATCAGATTAGTGACAATGAAAGAGGTTGAAGAATGTGTGTGAGTGAAACTTTGCTAAAAAATTGGCAAAACCTTTACAGAGACATTTCAGTTGCTTAGCCAAGCATACAGGAAGGACTTTCCGAGTTGAATGCAGTGCTATGAGTGGTTTAAGTGTTTCAGACATAGCAGAATGGCAGTTGGTGACGATCCCATTTCTGGATGACCTCCCTCATCAACAGATGATGACCATGTCGAAAGAGTTCATGCTGTGATTCGTGGAAATCGCCGTTTAATTATATGAGAAGCTGCTGACAAAGTGGGCATCATCATAGGATCATGTCATCAAATTTTGAGAGATGTGTTGTGAACGAATGCATGAAATGTGCACTCATGCCACATTTGTTGACTGATGATCAGGAACAGATCTGTTTTGAAATCAGCCAAGAACTGCTTGCCACTGCCAATAACAATAGAAACATTTTAAAGAGCATAATAACAGGCGATAAGATGTGGGTTTATGACTATGATATTGAGAGGAAGGTCCAGTCATCACAGTAGGTAGGCAAAGGGTCTCCTCACTCCCTCCCCCCCAAAAAAAGCACGCATGAATCGGTCAAAGATGAAGGTAATGTTGGCTGTGTTTTTTGACTGCATAGGTACTATCCATCAGGAATTTGTACCACATGGTCAGATGGTAAACAAAATTTTGTTTATTAAACTTTATGGTGGTATTGCACATTTGAGTGTAGCAGGGAATTCTAGCACAGTTGAGGGATGCTGTGCATAGGAAGAGGCCTGAATTGTGGATAAATCACACCTGGATGTGACATCAGGACAATGTGCCGTTCTTTGTCCGCAACTATCTAGCAAAACCTCACACTCCAGTTGGCTCCCAGCCACCATATTCTCCGGACTTATCCCCAGCAGACTTTTCTGTTTCCCAAACTGAAAACCATGTTGAAAAGATGTCATAGCCAAACCATAAACGAGATTCAGGACAATGCGACACATCAAAAGACCTGCGTGCCAATTCCAGGAGGCTTTCCAAAAATAGAAGAAATGATCGAAATGGTGTAGTGCCAGTAGAGGGGACTATTTTGAAGGAGACAGTGGTTAAGAAGTTGTACAATAAGCAATAAAGATGCTATAGGAAATGTTTGGTTTATTTTTTTAACACACCTCATGTGTAAGAAAAGGATTCTAAAGTTTTAGATAAATCCTTACGAGATGAATTTAGCAATGAAAACAAAAGCAGTTGCTGTATGTACTATGGTAGCCTATACATTAAAAGAAATAGTAAAATGATAAAAATTATGCTTTCTGACCAAAGCACTAAAACTGTAGTCTGATTTGAGCATACTTGTCTGAGATGATGATCAACACTGCAATGAGACAAATAAGGCATACATTCTGACTGCTACATTTCACAGGTTGCTGTTTATCATTTGACGCAAGTTTTAATATTTATCTATGAATTGTTTACTGCTGTAATAACTACTTGAAATAGATCACAAATAAGGGAGCACAGCTATACTTATTTTATTATTTATTTATTTATAAATTACTTGATGAGCTGCAAAAAGTCGTCCTTGGAACTTGTTGATTATAGTATAGTTATGAACTTCTCTGTCTTCATATAATGCAACTGGAGTTAAGAAATCTCTAGGGTTAGCCAATCCATTTGCACCTAAAATTAAATCCAGTCTTACAATATTTTCCTAGAAAATAATTATTAAATGGATGAAAGGATAAACAATCTACATACTTTCATAAAGTCTTCTAACATGGCAGATTATGAAACATAATCTGAATATGTACATATAGAAGATGCTATTTATCCTAACTGGTTTTAAAGTTTTAAGTGATTGAATAGCATTTCAAAAATTATTCAGATATTTAAGCTAATGCTAGTTATAGGGTTATAAGTTTAAACATTTAAAAAAATATATACTGTTAAAATTCAAAGAAAATATAGCAGAAAATTAAAAATACTGAAATATCAACTAGACAAATATGTAAAATAAAACACTTAGATATTTCTTGTCACATTATTATTCTCCCCTAAAGGTCCTTCTAATGAATTTTCCCCTTTTTTTCTTCACCCCTTTAAGACAATAAAACAGCTCATTTTAAAATCTCACAAAACATACTTTATCAATGATAACTTATTTTGTAAATTCACTACCAAATTCAATGCTCTCCACCTCAAAATAATATATCTTCATCAAAATTATTGGAATTCATTAATTATTTTAAAGAAAAAAAATGGCTTTATATTTTCTGACATTTATAGGTTTTTTAAATCTGCTTCAACTTCTAAAATATCAAACAAAACTTTACAGGAAAAGTTTTTAATTGCCATCCTACATAAATAATGATGAAATTTAGTTTTGGTTGAATAATTTTTAAATAATGCTGAAATTATTTTATGATATTTGCAAATGTCATATGCATATAGCATCAGTTAATTATCATCACACTCTATTTCAGCTCTTCCTAATAACACACACTTGCCTTCTAAAAATATGAAATTATTTTTAAATGTATTGCTAGAACTGATAAACATTCAGTGAGTACACTGAATTCTCCTCTACCTTCTTTCTCTTTCTGGCAATAATAAAGTATATTCTATGCAATACCAATCTGAAAAATACATATCTAATCTATGGAGTATATACAAGGTGTGGCTATTAATTTCAGGACTGCTCTAATAACACCAGAACAGATGATGTGAAAAACATAACCTTTTAATATGTTTCAAAGTAATCTCCATCCATCGTAACACTTCTGTGCTCGGCTGTATAAGTTGTGGAAACAACTTTTAAAGTCCTCTTTCGGAAGGCTCTTCAATGTCGATGTCACGTTCTTCTTGATGTCTTCAACATCCGCAAAGCGTGTTCCTTTGATCACAGTTTTGAGTTTGGGAATGTTCGATCATACTCTCCTGATTTGATCCCCGCAGACTTCTTTTTGTTTCCCAAACTCAAAATTGTGATCAAAAGAACACACTTTGTGTATGTTGAGGACATCAAGAAGAATGTGACGCCGACATCGAAGAGCCTTCTGAAAGAGGACTTTAAAAATTGTTTCCACAACTTATACAGCTAAGCCCAAAAAAGTGTTACGGCAGATGGGGATTACTTTGAAACATATTAAAAGGTTACTTTTTTCACATCATCTGTTCTGGTTTTATTAGACTAGTCCTGAAAATTAATAGCCACACCTTCTATAAAACTCAATGCATAAAACATGAACTCTAAATCTATGCACTCCAAAACAAATTTCATTTCCATTATTATACTTTATTAGAAGAGAGATTTTTCATTCAAAATAATGCATAACTAATCATTCAATGCCAATCTAATTTTACATTATCAACATCTGACAATGAATGGTAGCTTCCTAATTCCCCCCCCCCACACACATTAGAACATACCTTTTTCCAAAACAACAGCATGTATACAGGATGAATGCGGTGAAAGTATTTTCTGTCATACTTGAAAGAAATATTGGGCTAGTTTCTTCAGTTATTCTCATTTCACAGAGTTTTCATTTGGACTGATTATTACTTAAACCATTTTCTAAAACTTCACACTCAAAATAATTAAAATTTACATAAGCTTTGAAAAGAATTCCTGAACTATAACACACTATAACAGTTTTAAGAAACAAAAAACTGTGCCTGATAACTTAAAAGTTAATTTTTCCTTAATCAGGATATTCCTTTCATTCTTCATATGATTCCACACATGTGCAACATGTAATTTTATAGAATTTTCACGTACTAGTCTAACTTCTATGGAGATTATGTATGCACAGAAAATAATTATATTTCTGGTAATTTCCTATTGACACTGAATCCAAATTGTGTACTTTTTTAACTTTACAAAAAGAAATTCTTAATATTCAGAGGATAAACTATTGTGTTGCACTATCTGTCAATGCTGACGCAATAGCAGTTCTTGTCCTTGGAAGTGGATAACTGTTTTACTATAGCCTCTTCCCCTTTTAGGCTGTCGAAGTGCCATACATAAATGAACTGGACTCTGAACTGAAGCAAGTAATAATCTGATCATTAAGATCTGGACCATGTGCTGGATTTGGATCAGTTCAATTCCCTCAAGTTCCTTCTGTTTTTTCTGGATCCTGCAAGTAGTATAAGGATTAGTATTATCCTGCTGTAGAACGTATCTTCTTATTACATTGCTTAGTACTTTTCCTTCAAAACAGCTTCATATTTGCTCTGGTCGTTTAGAGTATAAGACTGCATTAATAAAGCAGTGATTTAAAATAAACTCATAATAAACTGTCCATTCCAAATTCTACCAGATACTGAGCACCTTCTTGTATTCGAAGCATACACATATGGCTACAAATCATACTCATACGTGTATACTATTATCAGAAAAGCAATGGCTAAAACTGGACCAATCTCTTTAGTTCATGCATTTCGTAAAAAAATTTCAGCACACTTCCATTCAGCAACTGTTTGGTTTAGTGCTATTTCATAAGGTACAATTTGATATTTCCCATTGACTTTGCTAAGAATGTGAAAGCAATACAAAATGGTATTTATTCTGTAATATGCACAATCTGCATGATAATGTCCAAAGCTAATTGTTGGAAATGCTTTTATGGGCTGGTGCTCAGCAACAAAACCAATTAAAACTTGGTTGATCATTGAGATTCTTTTCTAAGATTTTCCTTTAAAAATATGTTAAACTATGTTATTGTTACAACTACACTGCTACTTCCTATGTTGTTACTACCACTGTATTTTGTGCATAGCCAGTTTCGTCAATAACATTACCAGTCAGCTCTAAAACTGAAATTTTGTATTTACTAAAAGAAAATTTCCCCTATGTTTTTTAATCCATCTTTCTTTAGCGCTTTTTTTTTTTTTTTCCTGTGAAGTCTCTACAAAGAAACTATAGCAACTTGCCATCTATATAAACAAAGTTCCTAATTGCATGGAATGTAAACAAACCAGCTAACATAAGGTTTAACAACACAGTTACGTTTGATTTTAACATCTGAAACATTAACAAAATAAATTTTATAATGCATGTAAAAAAAAAAAAAAAAAAAATCACATACAGATTTAAAAGACAGAAGATTATACACCAAAAAGTGCAAGTTTAACTAAAATTACAAAAATTTCAAGATTTATGGTTATAGGGATCACTAGGGGAAAGTGCATAAAAATTGTGTAAATTTTATATATTTATTTATTACAATTTCTAAATTATGCATTATGTTTAACGAATTATATACCACATTATAATTTTCTTAAAGTGTCCAAGAACATTATAATGCACAATTATGAATATTATAATCCTTATTTATTATTACAGATTTATGTTTTTTAGTATAAATAAAGCTTCCTAAAGAGAAATTAGGAAGTCTAAAATTATATGAATAATTTTTTCATTTAACAGACAATTCACATTCAGCAAATTCACTAAATGTAAAGAATATATAAAAATTCTTACCAATAGGTCCTAAATAAGGCAAATTGAAATGTGCATCGAAAACTTCTAGAATATATCCTCGACTAGGGCCTTCAACTCCAACATTGAATTTCATTCCTTGCTGTAATTAAAGAATTTTAAGTTTCATTACACAATTTAGAGGCTCTCTCTCTCTCTATATATATATATTTTGTATTATTAGCCAGAACTATTATTTTTATGTAGGAGCCAAACAGGTTAAATACAAAGATACCTTTCTGTTTTTAATAACTATCACATTTTATAATTTTACTTCAATTATTGCTTATATTCAAGGTAATGCACAGCTTTCAGCTTCTTTGTTTATATTCAAGGAAATGCACAGTTCTGTGTAGTGTATAATCACATTTTATGTATTATTTTATAATTTCTGTATAGATATAAAAATTTATAATTTCCATTAAAATACATTCATTATGTGTTAATATCATGAAGACATTTTTCATTTTGTCACCTTTTTTCTATAAATTTTCCTCTCAAATCCTTCTAAAGCTTCTGAGGAGCAAAGTCTAAAAATGACTTTACCCTGCAAAAGCAAAATGCTAGAAGACTTTTTTTAATAAAAAATTCAGGAAAAAAAAGGGGGGTAAAGTGAATTTTTAATAGAAAACTGACACTCATATGAATATTCTGAAACAAATACATGAAAAAAAAAACTCTTATGAATAAACATAAAAGAAGACAAATGAAATTAATTTTCTAATAATTAAAGTAGCTTTTTGCTTTATTTAAGGATTGCTTTGGAAATTGTACTTTATCATTTATTATCTTATTTATTTTTCAGAATCAAATCATTTTTAAGGTGCCAAAAAAGAAAGTAATGTCACTTTAAAACATGACATAGGAAAATAAAAATATTTTATTTTAATGCTATTTTTTAATGGATTATCATTATTTTAACAATATTTATCAATTTTATAGTGTTTCCTTAAAAAATTATTGAAAAATTCCCAAATCTTCAGATCAAAATTTTGTATAAAAGTTGATCTTGAAACTGGCAATATGTTGATAAGTCATCAAACTTAGCCCTGAATAATAAAAGAAATTGTATCTCAAAAGGGAAAAGGTTGTTTTGATGTAATCTTTATGAACCCTTCATTTTCAAAAAGAAATAATTTTGAAATATTAATGTTTCAATAGAGGCAGATCTTGTGTGCCTAACAATTAGGGCTTCGCACCGTTTATATTAAAAAGTAAGAAAGAATTCAAATGATAACCCACCAAATACATATTTATTTATCAAGGAAGCACCAAAAAATATTTCTAAAAAATGTTACCACTCAAACCGGCAGTCATAAAAAAACAAGACAGAAATGTCAAATGTGTAAAATTAAAGACTTATTTGCCGATTTTGGCCAAAATTAAGGACCAAAAGTCGCTTCTAAGAAACCTAAGGACTTTTAAGTATTTTTAAGAACCATACAAGCCCTGCATACATAATTCATATAATCTGTAATTCTTTTTTCATTGTGAATTTAATATTAAAAAGGCTTCCCACTTCATATTAAGCAAAAAGCTGAGAAGGTTTCTTTTTCATAACAAAATATACTTATGTTAAAAATGCTTTTCACCACCTAATACTTGTTGCCTTATTTCTTTTTATTTATTACAAATTGCACTGATTTTTTTATAAATTTAATATTACAATTTACCTAATTGTAAATTGATAGAACAGATATTTTGTTTTTGAAATGAACTTGCCTCCATTGAACATTATATTGAAATTAATATAGTGTTTCTTACACTTAATTATAACATACATATTCTTCAGTGAATGCTAATATTATCAATAACCTGGAGTTATTAAATACAAATAACAAGATTAAAAAACAAATTATGATTTATAAATAATGTTCTTAATACCAATATAAAATTACCTGCATAACACAAATTTCATTTGGTTCAACGTACATCCGACCAAATTCGGTAGTAACAGTAATTCTTCCTTGTTGTGGCACTACAAAGAAAAAATAATTAGAATTACATTTCTTTCTTTCCACACCAAACTTGAAAAGAATAAGTGATATATCTCTCTGCATGCACTTATACATAAATTTATGTACATGGTTAAAAGTTGTGCTATAAAATAGCTACGATAAAGATAAAAATACATTACCTATTAAAAAGTCTCCATCGGAGTTGTAAAAACACCTGCAAAAGGACAAAAATGAAAACAGTTAAATTGTAAGACATCTGAAATTAGTTTTATTAAAAAAGGTGCAAAATAAAGTAACTACATTCAAAAGTCGTTAATTCGGACACCCATAATCCGGACCTCAAGCTACAATTTTTCTGCATGCATGCGTCAATGCGACGCATGCGCATAGGCGTTTACGCGTGCGCGTAAGACCTTTTACGTCTGCGCATATGCGTGTGCGCAAGTGCAGAATACGTTTTCGCGTGCGCGTTTTATGTATAACGGACGGTATAAGCTAAAATTATCTATTTCAGTTAATGTTGATGATTGCGTTGTTCCTTAATTTTCGAATTGGATCTGGCTTATTATTTTTTGCAGACTGTAAGAACAATACTATAAAAGTAAACTTGAACTTTCGATTATGTCCAATAAAATTTCCGAATCTGGAGCTCCCAAAGGACCGTACAAAACGAAAGTATGTTTCAATGTCCATCAAACAAAAAGTGGAATTGCTGCAAAAAATGGATAAAGACATGAAGAATGTGACAGAGAGGTTAGTGAAAACGAAAAAATTCAATGACAAGTTAGTCGGTATTCTAGGCACAGCATTTACGGGACTTGAACAGCAGAAACTTGTAACTAAACAAGAAATTATGTCTATTAATAGAATTAAAGAGACGTATTGTCACATGAAACGAAGCAACTTAAACAACTTACATTGAAAGAAAAGTTTAATTAAAGTAACAAAATAAATATTAAGCTTTTTTTTTTTTTTTTTGTAAATTTTGATACCCTTTAGATCATAATTGTTCTTTATTTCATAAATTAAGGTTTCATATTTTTAATTTTAGAATTTCTGCATGCCATCTTACGAGATTTAAATTGATGATCTATAATCCGGAATCACCGAAGTCCCGACGAGTCCGGATTAATGACTTTTGACTGTATACTATATTGTGAAAATATATGAAGTAATTCCTGAACTTTGAAACCCAGTGTCCCAGATACCATGGATATGCTACTAGTGTATTCTTTAGCATAAAGAATAATTTAGTACCAGAATAAATCATCATGATTTGACTGGACAGACTCAAATCATGATGACTAGTTTTGATAGTAAATTATTCTTCATACTAGAGAATATGACTGTCACACTTACTGTTTTTGCAGAAGGCCACATCAATCTCATCAAATGAATTTTGAGTTCTTTTTAATTTTTTGATCGTCTATTTCAAAAGCACTTTTAAGATACTAACTGAAGATATTTACAATTTTATATTTATCACTGGAAAATTTAGCATCTTTCTGCACCAATGATATATTTCTAGCAGTAATTCAGCCAGGAAGTGACAAATCACATTGATGCAAATACTTCCTAATTATTAGTTTTAAGGGTAAATTTATTCTTATTTATGTAAGTTTTATTTATCTATCTATATACAGATAAGTAAAATATATTTTTGAATGTACCTTTATTTACCAGGTTTCCTCTTTTATGGTCAAAATTTAAAAGAAAATTTTGCCAAGCATTAGCAAAGTTTTCCAAAAATAACATACCAATGAAGTACTTTGAGATCATAAAAGTATTCCCCACCCCCTCAAAAAAGTGGAAATACTTTTTATTACTTAGATGACAAACAATTAAGGACAAGCACTTTTTAAATAAGAGTATCAAACTACACAAATACAGAGCTGATTAAATACATAAATAGAAAATTATTTAGATATGATGAAATCTTAATATTAAAAAAATAGTGACACAAAATGGTATAACATAAGTGAAACATGTGTTAAAAATATTTCTTTTTCAAATGTGATTGTAAAAAATGATGAAAAGAAAAATGTGTCTAAACTGCTTGCCAAATGTGAAACAAAATTTTAATGCCATCTATTGATGGGAAAGGAATGAGAAGCAAATGAGAATTGAATTCTTTAAGTAAATTAAATACAGTTAGAAACTGGATTATTAACTAAAACAATTACAAGCACTTTTTAAATACTTTTTGCATCAGAGAATTAAAGTGGAGTTTTCTAACCAGTAAGGATGGGTAATGGAGATTAATGCATTTTTTCCTTCTCTTAGATGCAAGTTTTATGCTTTTTTGTTTGGAATTTCAGAGCTTGCCTTGTTTTTAACTGAAGTATATTAAGCCACACTTGCAAAGAATACTATAGATCAGTTTCTTAAACTGTGAGTCGCAGGACCTGCAGCAGAGGGATGCCAAAAATTTTAGCAATTTTGATATTTCTTTAACTTATTATAATAATTTTACAATTACCAAATATTTTAACACAATGTATCTGAAAATAGATAAAGGTAAGACAATACAGACAAAGAAAAACAAAAATGTTTTGATGCATTCTTTTTATAATATAAACGTTCATTTTACTTGCTTTGCATTTTGTCTGTTACTTATTTAAAATTTTCACATTGTTCTTTGTCTTAAAATTAGAAATTAAATTGACCTAAAATTGCAATAGTATATTACAATAAAATTGAAAAAATTGACAGTTTTACTCAGGCAGTCAGGATTGTGCAATGCTTATAGGGTCCTAGAAAATTTTCGTAAATACGAGGGCTGTCTGAAAAGTTTCGACCTCAATATGTACATGGCAACACAAATCAACTGAAATGGAGGGAGAATTTGCTTGGGCATCACCTGATAACTACCAATCAAAATTTCAGCTATTTTGAATGCAACGTTTACAATTACTTTTGTGAGTTAATGTGACCATTTTTGGAAAAAATCAAGTATTGTGTTGTCATTAGATACCTGTTTTTGGAAGGTCATACACCTACTCAGATTAAAGAGGAGTTGGATACAGTGTACATGGACTCTGTACCATCATTTACTACTGTGAAATTTTGGGCAGCTAAATTTAAGTGTGGACGTACCAACTTGGATGACGATGAATGTTCAGCACAGCCAAAAACAGAAATCACTGAAGAAAACATCGCTAAAATCCACCAAATGGTGCTGACGACCATTGAATCTAGGTTAGAGAAATAGCAAAGGCTATTAGCATGTCCAAAGAATGTGTTTGCCACATACTTAACAAAGATTTAAATATGTGCAAGCTGGCTGCACGTTAGGTGCCGCATTTGCTCACTTTGGACCAAAAACGTGTCCGAATGAACATTTGCATCATTCTGTTGGCGCAACAAATTGGAGAACTTCTGATTATTAATCATTGTAGATAAAACATGGATTCATCATTACAGTCCAGGGAAAAAAAACAATTCAAAACAGTGGACTGCATAGAGAGAATCGGCTCCAAAAATGGCGAAAATTGTTCCTTCTGCTGGGCAAAAGATGGCAACAGTTTTCTGGGACAGCCATGGGATTGTATCAATAGATTGTCTTGAAAAGCGAAAGCCATTACCGGAGCATACTACACAATGTTACTTGAAAAGCTTTAGACAGAAATTATGGTAAAAAGGCCACATTTGGAAAAGAAAAAAAAATTTTGTTTCACCAATTTTTTGTTTCTGTCTCACACCTCAGTGGATAGCAAAAATCCATGACTTATGATTTGAACTGCTTGACCAACCGCCATATTCACCAGACCCGGCACCAAGTGACTTTTTTGTTCCCTAAGCTAAAAGAAGCAATGGAGGATAAAGATTTTTGTCAAATGAGGAGACATTACAGAGAAAGATTCCACATATTATTTGGGCGTTAAAAGGATGGGAGAATTGCTGGAAGAAATGCATAGACTTACAAGGAGACTATGTAAAAAAATAAAGGTAACTTTGGAGGAAAAAAAATCTTTTTTCTTTGTTAGGTTGGAAACTTTTCAGATAGCCTATGTATTATGGGGGTCCTGGGGTCACAAAAAAAAAAAAAAATCTCGGTGATAAAAAGGGGTCATGACTGAAAAAAGTTTAAGAAGCCCTGCTAGAGATAACCAGGAAATTACATCTGGAAAGAGCTGAACTGTGAACTTCATTTGCAGAAGAAAAAAGACACAAAATGTTAAACCAAGGTAAATTATATAAGTTTTTATAACTAATGAAAGAACGATCCAAATAATCTCTAAATTTTTGTAAGAGTTAGAATAAAAGTATATTTCTGAATGTTTATAGGATTTATGTGCTTATGGGATTTACATATCTGTTTGGCATCTTAAAAAGATGTGGTAGATCATAGGAAACCAGTTACACTATTGATGCTTTGTGAAGAAACTAAAGTAAAAAAGCATTTGCAAAATTTAATGCACTGGCCAACATTTCTCAAGCAATAGCTTGTCATAGTTAGAAGCATCTAAACACTTATAGGAACTAGAGGATGGATACTTGCTCTAATTACAGACATCAGAAATGCTTTAAATGCACCCTTGATGCCTATATAAATTTAGTGTTACACTCTGTATGCTAATTTTTCTTTTGTTGAAATACTGTTATTGAACTGTCAAAGGATCCTTTTGAATATTGAAAAGCACATTAAAAGGAATATGGAACGTAAATCGTTTCACTGACTGTGCAATAAGGATCTAAGTTCCAAATCGATGTAATTAGAGGCACTTAAAACAGACTATATATTTAATGCATCCTTGAAAATTCCAGATGTGTCTGCTTGCAATGTAATGTGTTGAAAGAAAAGAAATTAAATTTGGCTGATTCACATTTTGGCAACTGTCAGACTAAAATTCTAATAGGATATGATTCATTCTTGGACACAGCTTATAATGAGAGTCAAATGAAAACATTAATATGATTAATTCTTGTTTTGGTTGGTTCCTGGCAGCAGCGGAAGAAAGTAATAAGTTAGCTGATAATTATGAAAATGTATGTTTAGTCATGGATTCTTCTACCATTTTGGCAGAAATTTTAGTCAGAAAAACAAAACTTCCCTGAAAAGGATAATCAATTGATTGAAAACTCTCTGGAATTTAATGGAGAAAGAAATGCTTACAGATTTGTGCGGAAAGAAAACACAGGATCTGCAACTGGACTAAACTCTAATTATGAGGCTGCAAAAAATGCATTTTTATTCTCAAAGCCACAAACTATATAAAAATCATAAAATTTACAATTAATATGAACAAATTATATTAGATAATTAAAATTCAGATTATGAAGATAAATGATGATAAAAATTCAAGATATTAAATGCCCAAAGAGTTGCAATTAGCTAAGCATGTAAGATGTGGATGGTCAATATAACTTAATAATATATCCTCAGTTATTTAATTATTGTTAAAACTTTTCCAAATTAATTTTCTGGGAACATTCTTGCACCATTAGCCATACTGATTCATCACATACAATACATGAATTTTTTTTTATCTCTATTTAATGAAGCAGTTGATATAGTACAAAGTCTGCAATCTGGACGTCCATAATCAGGAATGATCTATAATCTGGACCTCAAAGCTGCAAACTTTATGCGCATGCGTAAACGCATAATGCGTTTACGCATGCGCATAAAGTTTTAATGTATAACGGATGGTATAAGCTAGGCCAAAATTATCTAAGGCATTTCAGATAATGTTGCAGATTGCGCTGTTCCTTAATCTTCTGATTGGATCCAGCTTATTATTTTTTGCAGACTGTTAGAAGAATTTTATAAAGCTTGAATTTTCGATTATGTCAAAAAGAGTTCCAATTCTGGAGCTGCCAAGGGATCTACAAAGCGAAAGCATGTTTCGATGTCCATTAAACAAAAACTGAAATTGCTGCAAAAAATGGATAAAGGCCTATCCGTCTCAAAATTATGCCAGAAGTATGGCATTGAAAAGTACACTATATATGACACAAGAAAAAGGAACTTTTTGTGGAAGCATCTTAAACAACTTACGTTGAAATAAATGTTTAATAAAGTAAACAAATAAATATTAAGCATTTTTTTGTAAATTTTGATACCCTTTAGATCATAATTGTTCTTTATTTCATAAATTACGATTTCGTATTTTTAATTGCATAATTTCTGCATGCCATCTTACTAGATTTAAATTGATGATCTATAATCCAGAAAAACTCCTAATCGGAATCGCCGAAGTTCCGACGAGTCCGGATTACGGACTTTGTACTGTATAGGTTTAGACTTTGATCACTTTGATATATTCTAAGAAAAAAGTTTTATTTCATAATTTTTTAAGGGATTCATCACAGTTTTAGCAATTTCTCTAGATTCCACTTCACTTCTCAAAAAGTGATAATTTCAAAATAACAGTTCATTTCCTTACTTTTTCCTACTGTAAAAATCTAAACTCAAATCTTGTAACAACTTCAATGACACTGAATTTGATATATCTACAAAAAACCTCTATTACATTTAATGATTGTAAGTTTCTTATATTAATTTTTGTTTCATCATACAATTTACATAAACTTTTAAATAAAGACTTTCCACAGATTCCAAGTTCTACTCTATCTTTGTTTTAAAAGTTCAAGACAAGAGTCATAATTTTTCCTTATTTACAGTCATGTGCAAAAGTTTAAGACCACAGATGGAAAAATCAGATTTATTAGAATTCCGCAACAAAAACATGTTATAAATGAAAAAAATAGACCTACAAGGTTATTGAAATATAGTCAGTATTTTATCGGACCTCCTTTATTTTTTATCACTGCTGCAATAATTTTAGGCATGCTATGAACAAGAGACTAGCCATAAGCTTAAGAAATCTCTGTACACCACACATACTTTATTGCTTCAACAAGTTCTGTAGTGCTGGATTTGATAGCTTCTTCGTCACTTTATTTTTCACAATACACCACAGATTCTCTATGAGATTCAAATCTGGTGTTACCTGGCCAATCAAGCACTTGGATTTGAGTAGCCCTCAGATAATCCTTAACATTCTTCGCCCTGTGACACGGAGCCCCATCATGCATGAAAATTGAACATCTGTGAAAATCCAATTGAAGCTTCAATTTGCCACGTAACAAATTAAGATGCCAACTGCTGTTTATTGTGGTGTTAGGTAGCAGGAAATATACAACAGTAGTACCAGACGAAGACATTGCATCCCATATCATCAGGCTTGGAGGATGTTTCACTGTTGGAATTGTATATCTGTCATCATATCTTTTTCCAAATGGGTGGTGAATACGTTTAGCTCGTGCAGAAAATTACTGCACACTTGACTCATTGGAAAATAGCTACTCTATTGTTGTTCAGTCCAATTCTGATATTGTCTGGCGAAAGTCAGTTCTTCATTTTTCATGCTTTGAATAAGTCGAGGTTTCCTTGCAAGTTGATACGAAAATAAAACATAATCTTTAGTCAAACATTTTGAAAAAGTACTCGAACTGACGATGGTACCCTTTGCAGCCAGAGCAGCTCTAATTTTATTGCAGGAGTTGTTAGACATCGAGTGATCATCCTTCTGATCACACGATCATCACGTGCACAAATTTTTCTTGGACGACCGCTTCTCTTAAGATCCGTATAATTTCTTGAAATTTTGAATTTACTGATAGATTGACACATGCCTGTCTTGCCGACGTTTACCTTCAATCTTATTTCATGTTCAGAAAAGCCAGCTTCAACCAGGGCCACTATTTTTGCCTGTTTTTCAACAGTAAGTGAAGGTTTTTTTACCATTTAAAAAAATTATACAACAGTACACAAATTCCAATAACGAACTACTGAAAAACGAGACCATGTTATATTTACAGCAGTAAAAATCGTTTGGTGCAACCAGCGCATGAGATAACGCAATCACGAGCGAAAATGGTGCAATCTGTTCAAATATAGGAAAACGGCTACTGATGCTAAAAATTTTGCACGTGACTGTAATTCAAAACCAGCAACATTAAACACAGTGCCAGGAAAAAAGAGATTTTAAAAACTGGGATTTTTCAGTTTTTGTGAGAGAATTATCTAAACCAACTACATTATCAAAACAATTTTAAAATTCTATAAAATTACTAAATCGCAAAACTTACAACTTTGGTAACTTTACAGTCATAACATTGTTTTCAAAAGTACCAGATATATTAAGAACTGAAGAAGGCCACTGACAATTTTCTGCTCTTAACTCTTTGATTTAATATTAGCAGACAAAATTTTGTCATCATATTCTTCCAAACCTTTTAACTTACTTTTTTTACAGATCATAAATGAGTGCTATGGGTAAAAAATTCATAGCTTTTCAAATCTTTAAATCCTAACTTCTGAAAATATGTTCTTTTCATTTCTAGAAGTCTCAGTCACTCTGATAATGAATTTAAATCTTTGACAGCTTCATTAAGCCCATGGGTTTTTTTAGCAACTTTAGTTAACACTGGTATGAATGTTACTTCTCTTTTTAACTATTTTTAAAAGTTTAGCAGTATTAATTCAGAATTTGTAAGACATTCCCTCCACAGTCTTGAATAAAAAAATTTAGAAATTATCCAACATTTATCCTTCGCAACATTCATGATGCACGAAAAATTCCCCATGTAACACAATAAAATTTATTTATAATAAATAAAATTATAATTGAACGATTAAGGATATATTATTAGGCTGTTTTGGCTTTCCACATCTCATATGCTTAGCATCTTGCCTAGCCGCTATCAGAGCAAAGCCCTCTAGCCAAATGGCATGGGAAATATGTAACAGAAGATGAATACTCACTTGTCTTCCATGGACACATTACAAACGTATATGTGAATTGCAACTCCATGCCTTATTTTGGGATCACCAGCTCCACAAACTGTTTTTATGCCCTAGAATTATCAGGGATATATATCAACAAAAATAACACTATTTAATACTTTACAAAGTATATAAAGGTAGAATGTAACATAGGGGAAAAAGTATCCAATTTAAGTAAGATAAACTATTTCAGAGATGTAATAAAATAATTATAAATGAAATTCTAAGAAAAATTTTTTTTTAAAAAGAGAAAGAGAGAAAAATCTTAATTAAATTACCTCTACAAAGTCAACTTGTTCCAACTCTCGTTCAGGAATGTCAAATGGTTTCCACCGCATCTATTAGAAAAAATATGATTAGATTTCATCAAAATTATTTATGGCCCAAAAAATGAAACTATGTTTCGATAAATGTTCTTTTTCAAAGAGTAACAAAAAACAAACAACTCACTTGATTGGGATTAGGGTCATTTTCATTCCAGTCATGAGTCAAATCACCACAGTTGAGAGGTTTAAAAGGCAAATGGACTACTGATGGCCTTATTCGATAAAACCATCTACAAAGTAATAAAAAGTACCATCAAAGGGGAAGAGGAGATAAGGTTTTAAAAGCATATAAACTCACTTTTAAAGTACTCAAAAACTAAATCAAACTTTAAAAACATAAAACACCCTGCTCAATACATTCTCATATAACCATCTTTTAAGATTATTTACTATAACAGAAACATGGAAGAGAAAGAAAATATTTTAACTTTGGGAGCCTAGAGTTTTAAATCAGATAAAATTCAATTTGAACTGCTTAAGCTCTAGACAGAAGCTCTAAATATACCAAGTGATTCAGCATAATTTCCTTTTCATTACAGAGAAAAGCTAGATTTGTCTTTTGAAGATCAAATTTTAATACTTTTAAAAACTGCCCATGTTTTGTTTAGCTTTAAAATAATAATTTATTTCAGATTCATTGTTCTTTTAAGAAACAGATACAGGTTTCTTTCCTTCTGGCACTAAAGTTTTCCCTTTGATGATACATTCTGGTAAAGAGATAAATATCTGTACCAGTTTTTTCAACTTTAATTTTATTATTTCCTTACATTTACTTTTTTTAAAATAAATAATGTTATTTCTTAAATGAAATAATTTATTTCCAAGATCTATGACTTCGCAATACATTTCCAGTATAAGCATAAACTTGTATAAAAGCTCATAAAATTGTTTGAGGTTAATACCAAATAGAAATAAAATCAGGCATAGATGCTTTTCTATTTTATTCAAAATTTACATCAATCTAAGATTATTCTTTTTGAATAATTTAAAATTTTACATTGGTGTGCTTCTCTTCCAGTTAGATATTTTTGCCATTACTTGGCATTTTCACAAAGTTTCTAGTTATTTCATAGTATATCTCCTTAAACCAATTTATTTGGGATGGGGGAAAAAGTTTGAATGAACTTTCTGGGGGATTAAATTTAAAATGCTTGAGGATCTCTGTGCTAAATAATGTTTCCATTAATCCTATTGTTTACTCATTGTTCTGAAAATTATTTAAATATCCACAATGCCTCTAAAATGCAGAACTATGTCACTCCTATATTAGTTTTCTAGTTTTCTAAATTTTGTGTAAGCTGAATTAAAGATTTGAATTCCTACTTAAATTCAACGAAACCAATTAATGAAATTCAGTAAAACTGAATTATCAATTCACTGAAACTTAAATTTAGCACTGAGATAATAAATACTCAAACAATACTTCAATGCTGAATTCTTCTGTAAGATAATATATAAAACTAAGTAAACTTTACAAATGAAGTAATTATACATTTGAGTTGATTGGGGGGACTGATCTGTCTTTGTATGTGTTTATTATGTAATATTTTTTAGTAGTTTTATTTATTTGCAATGGCAATATTTTACGTTGCTGTAAATATTAAAAAAAAAAAAAAAAAAAAAATTACTGCAAATAAAAAAAAAATTAACTTATTTGGATTATCATTTTACAGTGATTGTATTCATTCTTGGGAAGATGCTGAATTTTTTCATTCCATTTATATTTCACCTCATGCATTAATTGATTTAATCCTCATTTGATAATTTAATATCTTAAAATTTCCGGTTAATACCCCATAATTTACTTTCCATTAAAAATAATTTGCCGTTACTGAGGTTTGTTAGCTTATGTTGTTCTGAAAGTTTTCTCTACATCTTTTTTATAAGTTTTGATATTTTCTCTTTTCTTTATTATTTCATGCCTTTAAAATTTGCTACTCTTTTCCCAACTGTTTTATTTAATAAGCCAACAAAAAATTAAGTTATGCTTAAAGTATAGGAAATTTTTTAACCATTTCAATTCTTTCCTTAAATGAAAACAATAAAATACAGATGGAGGACAAAATAATACGAACATCTGTGAAATAATGGAAAATCTTTATTAATAGGACCATACTTTGACTGAAGTACAGATTGAATGCGATGTGGGATAGATGCATAAAGGTCATGGACAATATTTAAAGGAATATTAAGCGATTCCTCCTGCAGAGTGGTCTCTAATTACGAAAGTCCAGATGGAGGTGGAAATCGGGAACGAAGTTAGGACTCCAAATATGTTCAATAATATTCAAGTCCGGAGACTGAGGGAGCCAAGTGAGATGTTCAATTGCATCGCATGCTCTTCGAACCATTCTTGAATACACCCAGCAGTGTGCATGGGTGCGTTGTCGTCTTGAAAAAGTGGTCGCTTCCCAGGGAATACACTCTGGACAAAAGGAGGACATGATCTCCTAGAATGCTTAGATAGTGACTAGATGTGATCCTCCCATGCAGAATAACAAGTGGCCCAAGACCACGCCAAGATATCGCACCCCATACCATTATGGCGCACCAACTGTGAAGCATGGTGTGCCACCCCCATGCTTCACAGTTGGCAAGAAGCAGTCAGGATGAAATGCTTCTTTGGGCGTTCTCCAGACATAAACGCATCCGGTTGTCTGAAATGGGGTGAATGACGCTTCATCTGACCATATTACTTGTTGCCATTGCTGTGGGGACCAGCCTTTGTGATCTTGCACAACTGGCGTCTCTTGATAGTTGCTCTCACCAAGGGTACGAACTGCCACTCTGCCATAAATGTTTGCAGCATGAAATTCCATTTTGACATTTTTTGTTAAAATGGGGTCCTGGAGATGACTGTTCATTTTGGATGCTATCTCGGATAACGATCACTTGTGCTTTCGGGCTACTATGCGCTTCAAGAACCATCTATCCCTATCAGCCAGCTTTGACTTTTGACCACTGTTGTGCTTTGAAGTCATCTTACCCTCTTTCGTGTATGTACGCTGTCATAACAGCTGATACCGTATACCTTGCACACCCCACAAGGTTTGCTGTTTCCGTAACCGATGCTCCACTTAAATGCACTTCAACTATCATTCCTCTCTGGAACTCTGACAGGTCTGACTTTTCAATTTCTCACAGACAGTTCAATCGAAGCATGCAATGCAGGTGACTGCTGTTGAGAGACTGATACCTTCCTCTTCAAGCTCAACTGGGTGGCAGAACTTTTGTTGCAGGTAGCACGGCTGTACTGCAGGTGTGAAATACGTCATGCTTTTTCACAGGTGCTCGCATTATTTTGTCCTCCATCTGTATTTCCTTTCAAATTTATATGAGCTAAATGTAACAGTAAATCTTTTTCAAGCTATCTCTTTTGTGTTACATTATAAGAGACACACATAAATGTTATGTGAAATTCAATAAGCATTATCACATTCACCTAAAAATTGCCAATTTGAATAGAGTAACTATTCCTATAGAACTAAAATTGCTTGTAAATGCTATAAAAATGGTTCTTAATTTTTTAAGTAAAAAAAGCGTTTCTGAAGAAGAGGAAAGATTTTGAATAAAATTTTAAACACCCATGAAATCAGAAAAATGTTTATTATCTAAACTAATCTAAGCTTGTTATTCTGCTTAATTTTACACTAGATTACATGATACTGATCAGAAAAGACAGAAATAATTTCGAGTAATGATTGTTCCTTGCAGTCTCCCAAAAGATGATGAATGATTTCAGATTACATATTTTATTTATAGTAGAGACAATTCAATTCAAATTTTTTTAATGTGAAAGGATATGGATTTTTTTAATTGAAATTTACATTCCATTACATATATGAGAAGTGAAACATAATTTTAAATAAATTTCAAACTTATACAATCAGGGGCAGAATAAGATTTTCACAGACTCTAAAAAAATTCTTGAAAAATTTGGTGCCGTCACGTATATTTACAATATAACACCTGTTTTTTTTTCCTGCATTCTTTTTCTCTAGGTGTTGATTTAGCTGCACCAAAATATTCCAAGAAATTTTTATGGTGCTCCATTTCATTGAGACCCTCACAAAGCAAGTGAATTTCTCCAATAAAATCAAACATATTTTGGCAAAAATTAATTAATTTTTTATTTGCAGTACATTTCTTAAAAAATATTTACAGCAATATGAATGTTGCAACTTCAAGTAACTAAAAAACTATTATTAAGATACTTTAAAATAAACACAAGCCGGGGGGGGGGGAGAGGAAGGAAAAAAGGAATACAAGATCAGGTTTTGTATGGCCGCCCTCTTATTTTCCTTAGCTTTTATATATTCTCTAACAGAAAAATTTAGTACTGAAAAAATGCAATTGTATTCATTATTTTAATACTGAATTAAAGTTTTATTGAATTCATTATTCAGTATTACGAATTTGATTAATCCATTTCATTGAAATTAAGTAAGAATTCATATTTTTAATTCAGTTCACACAAAATTAAGAAAACTACAAAAGCAGTCCAATGTGAACATATTTTTGCATTTTAGGCAGAATCATGGATATTTTAAACAGTTTTCAAAAGAATTAATGATTAATGGAAACATTATCTAGCACACAGATTTTCAAGCTTTTTTTACCTTAACCCCCTTTCCCAATTTCAAATACATCAGAATGTTCATTCAAACTTTTTTAAAGTTTTTCTTATCCCTTCCATTTTTTCAATAGAAAATAAAAGCAGGAACAACCTTCAGCTTTCTTCTAATTACATATCTATAACCACGTCTATATATCTATGTTTATATGTCTTTATTTAAATGTAAATAAAGTGACAAATCTTTACAACTTTTTATGTTGTTTAAGCTTTTAAAAGTCAAATCTCAGTAATCCAGTCATTAATGATTTTGATTCCCCCTGTATGTACACATTGAAATATTAATTTCAAGCATCAATAACTCAAATTACAAAGCTTATTGTCAGGGAAAGTGTAAAAGTTATATTGTAAACTATGAAACAAAAACTTCGTAAAATGTTAAGCCTACAGTAACAAGAAAGAAAATTACAGACTTACTAAGAGATTCATATAAACAACGAAATATTCTAAATACAACAGAAAATTAAAATGGGATTGCTATAAAAGCAAATAATACATTTATTCTTTCAATTTTTTTTTAGTTCATTTACTAAATTAATTAAATCAGTTGCAGTTGATATGTAAAATTGTCACTTAAATATGAAATATACTTTATGGCTTTGCAAGTTAACAAAATTATGCCACTTGCCATTATAACTTACGTTCTTCTGTTGAATTCCCGAGGAGCTGTGAAAGCAGTACCAGAGAGTTGTTCTGCATATAAACCATATGGACAAACTTGAGGATTATTCTGAAAGAAACATGTTAAACATGTTGTAACATTAAAATGTTATATTATTTGAATGCATTAAGGGGGGAAAAATATTTATACTCTATAACATTTTACAATATGTTTTGTTTAAATATAGATAATGTTTTACAGTATATACTATTTTATAACCAGGGGTGTAGAGTTGGAGTCGGAATCAGGCAGATTTTGGGGTAAAAGGAGTCAGAGCTGGAGTCGCTAAACACAGGTCGACTCCGACTCCAGTTTTTATTGGACAGTTTGAATTTAAAATGAATTAAAAATGAATTGAAAAAAAAATTAATGACAAGCAGAGTTATTATTTTTATTTGTGAACTATATACATTAATAAATAGTTATTTTATTTTTTATTGACATATTAATAAATAAATATAAGGGCGGAAGATAGATGTGATAGTTGCCATTAGTGATTAAACTGATTCATTTAGTTACAAATATCACTGATCAATTCAGGTAAGCAGCAATAACAGCAAGAACTCCCAAAATTGATGCTATTCTTAGAAAAGGAGCAGTTATTGAGCAAGCAATACAATAAGGAAGTACATATATGATGATAAAGAGGTTGTTAGAATTAAGAACTTTAGAAGATGTAGATAACCCTAATGTTTCTCTAACAGAAAGACTGTGGAATGATCTTGCAGAATTGGAAACCCTTCTTTCTACATCATATATAGCCACAAAACAGCTGCAGTCTAAAGAACTGACAGGAGGTGAGAATGGAAGAATGTGACATTGTTCTTTCTGAAATGGAAGGTTTATTGCAGAAGAAATCACTTCTTCAATGAAGAACAGAGAAACTAGTTTGCCAGACAATGAGATCTTGCTGGTGAACATGCTGGAACATTCCAAAATTGGAATGTTCTGGAAAGTCATCTCTCATGTACCAGTAAACTCATGCCAGCCTTAATTCTTAAACCCACCTAGTCTTAACACATAACCATTAAAGCTAGCCTGCTGATTTCACATGTACCACTTTTCAAGGCCTATAAGTCAATCCTCCATATTACTACTCAATAATCCGAGTTTTCAGTTTTCAAATGCAGAAAGGCCAAGACACTGTCAATGTAGAAAGCAAAATCATTTATAAAAGTGAGGTATTTCAATTCTTTGTTAATGATGATGATGATTTTGTGGAAGACTTATAGGGAAACAGAAGTGTTTAATAATTACAATATCAAGTGGAATCCATACAATGATACAACAGCAGCATTGAGAGATTAAATTAAAATAAATGAATATTTAGTTTCAAATGATGATATTTAACTTATGCTCTATGACTTGATGCTAAGTGAATTAAAAAAAAAACAATGGCTATACCTGCAAACATTTTTCAGGTTTTCATTTAATAATTCAGGTTTAATTTCCTTGGTGTTTTTTCAGTGTTCACCAAATTTTACCAGAACAGTTGGTCTCTAGTTGTCAATCCCATAATTCATTACCAATAGTATACAACAGGTGCTTGTGAAGCTTCATGATGATAGACATGAATTTAAAGGTTTTTGAATATCACAAGGAAAAAGCGAAATGTTTCAATTAATGGAGTTTTTAAAGAAATGTGAAGAAGCGATAATAAATGGAGATGATATAACAGGAGAATGATGACAATGCCTCAAATCAATTAACTAACAGATGGCAAAATCAGTAAGATGGTTCTAAATCCAGAAAATTTCACTAACCAATGGTGAAGAAAATGACAGAGAGGTTGTTGAAAGTGTAAAAATTCCGACAGTCAATTCAAGAAGAATTTTTGATATGGTAATTACAGGACCTTATGATTGAATAAGAAATTATATCTACCTATAAAATTAAACAGAAAGTATTAGCACAAGAAACGGAACAACTTACATTGGAAGAAATGCTTAATAAAGAAAACAGATAAATATTGTATTTTTCTTTGTAAATTTTAATTCCCTTGAAGTCATTAAATGCTCCATTATTCACAACAAATATTTTAGATTTTTAATTTTATAATTTCTATACGTCATCTTAATACATTTAACTAATGATCAGAAATTCAGAATCGATGAAGTTACGACGAGTCCGAACCTCGGAATTTGTATTACTAATGTTTATTTATTTTTTAAGAAATAGTGGTTAATTCAAAAAAGATTCATTACTGTCGAATTGTATACAAAAGAAATTAAAAGAAAAATTCATTATCTTAAATTTTAAAGAACATGAATTTTAATAATTATTATTCTAAGATTCGTATATTCAATACAAATTATCTCCTTATCCAAAGCTGCTCATTAACATGTAAAAAAGAGTTTACTTGCATGTAACCTATGATATTTCTGTGCTTATCACATTAAGCAAAAAATATTTTATTTGCATATGACCTAAGACATTTCTTTGCTTATTAAAAACAACTGTCTTACATTAAATTTTAAAATTTATGTAATATTTATTTATGCCTTGAGAAAAATAAACATTATTAAAAATATATGCAATGACTTTTTACCTGACCCCATGGTAATGAATTTGCACACCTTGGATCTTCAGAAGTCAGATCACTTCCAAACCCAGACAAATACTAAAAACAGATTAAAAAAACACACATAAATAAATTGCTGTCAAAGTACAGATTAAAACTGAAACAATGTACAAGCATGCTTTTTCAACAAAATATAAAATTGTTTTGCAAAAAATTAAATAAATGGGTAAATAAAATAAAATTACTCAACCTTTATGATAAAAATATAACATTATTAATACATTAATTTCAGATTATATATAATACTAATATTAATCTTCCCATCTCCATTTCAGTGTTTCCTTTGAGCTGAAGTAGAGTTCATTTTGTGATTTTTCATGCATTTTCTTTCAGAGTGAATAATTTCTCATCCCTGAAGAAATCATATGCAAGACATCATTAGGCAAGTCCCAAATATTGATATCCATGGTAAATATAATATTAATAAAAACACAAGTGACCATTACATCTCTAGACTTTGTATTCTCATTGACAATTCTGAAAAGAAATTCTTTTGCTTTTTTTTAAAAAAAAGGAAACATTGTGATGATTTTAAAAGAAAACATTTACGACTTCATATAATCAATCTCTTAGCAAATTTAGCAAAATTTCTGCCAACAACTGCAGTCCCAATAACAGAACAATACCAATATTTATTCTCGTAAGACACTTACACAAGGTAATAAAATTAGAAATGCATAATCTGTAAATAATCATTCCTAATGGTACTTTTCCGTTTTGCCGGCGCAAATGATAAAGTCGCCAATAATGGTACAACTGATGCCAAACGGAATATCTTCGTTGGTAACTTTTCACGCCTCATTTTCAAACAAGTCGCAGCCATTTCTTACCAGATTGATTGCTTCTTTGAATACTGGCGTACAATTACATGGAATATTTACAAAGATAATTAAATTTTATGCCCTAAGACCATTTGCGGTAATTAAGTCAATTAGGATGCAATCACACTGCTCACCCGAAGGCGAAAATATAGAAAAGGCAAAATCAAGGGTTAAATTCATCAATTCTAATGAGAATGCACTAGCAAAGTAAAGCACTGCAGTTTTACATAATTTCTGAGTAAGCTATTCGTACGAATTGAAATAATTCTTGCATTTAAACTTGTATTCCAAATTAAGTTTTAGCTTGAAATTAATGTAGATAATTATTGAGAAAATTATATTTTTGTAGCATAATTTATGTAAGATAAGATCACTTGGGGTCACATGATACGAACCAGCGAATCAGGATGTTGAACCGTGATAGCATAGCAAATTCTTAAATTAATGTCTTTTTACACATTTATTGTCTTTATTTATTTGCTTTTTACAAAATTTTAAACCATATTAAAATGTTTATGCCTTCAAAATAGAAAATTCTTAGAACTAACATTTGTTAACATTTTTTTATGTGTATACTGTATGTTGTCGCCAACAAAGTCTGCTTGGCAAGATTTGCGCCGGTGAAACAGAAAAGTACCTTGCTAATTAATTTATTCCATTAACAGTAGAAACAGAAATATAACAATATAGATAAATGTTTTAGATTTAATAAAAAGGAAGAATATACATAATTATTCTATCTTTATGCATTCAAATTAAACATTAGAAATTCCTTAACTTATTTACCTCATTTTCTAATAACAGCTTACATTTTTTCACCTTTATTATTACTTATATCTTACTATAAAAACGTTATTTCTTCCTAAACAGTCATAAACACGTACAGCTCAATACATGATCACTTGAATTGAAATGTTAATTATTTGCACCCAGCAAAACAGCATACAACGCTTACTAACAGAGAACATTTCTGAGTGATCAGAAGAAATCTAATTCTTAGATAACAAGCTTAAAGCCTATTTTACCTTGTCTCTAATAATTAATAATGAAGCTGTTGTGAGATAAAAAGAATTCTACAGTTATTACAATCAGCTCAGGAAGAAAGTTTCGTATTTTTAGATTTTCTATTCCCTTCAAACAGAGGTGCCCAACCTTTTTGTCCCAAAGAGCACATTCTAGAATATCTGAACGATGGCAGGCAGCATTTACTTTTTCAAGGTTAATTTATAGTTGGAGTTAATAATACATGCACATAAAAAGAGAGATCGGTCACATTTCGCTTTGCGCTAGAATCTGTGTTGGACGCAATTTCTATTTCATTAAAAATGAGAAAACTTTCACACAGAATTTTATTAAAAACTAAAACATTTTTATTGTGATTGTGCAGCAGCCAGCACACATTAAACAATCGGCGGGCACCATGATGTCCGTGGGCATAGGTTTGGAAACCCCTTAAACTATGTTTATAAATATATAACATACACATTGAAACAATGATTTTTTTATCATTCGCTGACTTGCTGTTCATATTACTTTGTTTTGAAAATTATTTTTACAGTTACTTAAAAATATTTGCAAGATTTCCTTTTCATTCCTTTAACTAAAATTTATAGCCAACATTACTGCATGTTTCAAGCATTGTGGTCTAAGAATAAAATACTAATACAGCATACATAAAAATATTCCAGAATAACATTCAGAACTTTTTGAATTCAAGAATGGTGTATGGTGTATTTAATTATGGCAAAGCACACGGGGGCTATCTGCCTAAGGGGAGGGATGCCTTTGTGGAGGACTTTCTAAGGGAAACTGGCTCGTATACACGCTACACATGGGGTAAACCACGAAAACACCCATGCAGCCAGCCCGTTTGCGGGATTCGAACCTCGGACCGAACTACCAGTGTTCAGCGACTTTACTGCTCGGCCGCTGAATTCAAGAATGAAAACTATTTATAAACAGAGTTTTTTTAATAGATATCAAGACAGCAATGAGTATACTTCTCAACCAATAGGCTGTGAGGCCAACTTAATCAATTCTCAAATTAAAATCAAACATTTTGGCTTTGGAAAAGACTTAAACTGTCTCTTTAAGATTTTGAATATCTACTTTTTTTAAAAACTTCAGAAAATTTAATTAACATTGTTACAAAGTATGCATTTTTTATGAGCAAATATTAATTTCAAAGAAATAAAAAGAAGAATTCTTTATTACATCAAATACTATCCTATATGATTTTATTTTTCAAAGGATTTTAGTTTCATTTGAAAACTGTAAAATAAAGTTTCCTTTAATATCATAGCTATGGAACAAATGTATGAACAAAGTATTCAAAATACACCAGTGCTTGAAAATGAATAGTAAAATCTAACTTAATTATGCTGCAATAAGCAAAGCTAATAAATAATTTTAAAATAGGTGGATTACTGACTTAAAAGTCCATAGCAGTTGTGTGATAATTTTTTTTAAAAAAAGGTATTTATAATCTAAATGTATCTATCTATCTATAGATATATATATATATAAGTGAAATACCACCGACTCATCATGAGATCTCCGAATCTATACACCCGATTGACTTGAAATTTTGCATAGTTACACATTCCACGATGTATATGTGCATTAAGAACGGATTTTAAATAAACCCTGTCCAAAATAGATTTTTGTTATACAATAGAAGTTTCTCATACATTTGGTTTCCAAATCCAAATTCAGAATTTCCTTTTATTGTTGCCAAAACTAGATATGAAATACAATGTTACCAATGAATGCATTTTCCTTTAAAAATGTTAAATTGGTAAATAACTTGCATCTCTCCAATGAATACAAACAACATTTAAATGATGAGGTTAATAATAACATTTATATTTAATTGTTATCAAGAGTTTCATGAAAATGAATGTTATTATTAAGAGAAATAAATTATTGTGGTGAAAAATAAAAATGTTGTTGTTAATTGCCATACATGAAAAATCAAGGACAAATAATTATAATTAATTAAAAAATTTGATAACAAAGATATTTATTTTCATGAAATGTATACTAACAGTTAAATATATATAAAAATTAGTTTTATGTTGGCAATTTTTCGTGGTGGGGTTTTTCTAATGGGAATCCTGCCACATTAAATAATGGTGATGCATCCGAATACACAGAACCTCGTGGGAGATGTGGAAATCTGTGTACGACAGATTTACTGACTGGCACTATATTTCCTGACTTTAAATTTAAAAAATTTACATTAATTATCAATTCAAAATTAGACATTTCATCCATATAAGAAGTCTAGGTTCACATTCAAATAGATAATGTGCCCAGCAAAGCAAGCAGGTATCAGCTTGTATTCATACATAAGAACAGAATTCCTAATCATTTGCACAAGAGTCCCACAAGAAGCACTTTAAAACACAGGATCACAAGCATTTAATTAATACATTTTCGGGCATAAATGTGAGTGAAAGGCAAATTAGCCAATATATATGTATCAACGGAACCACCTTGGTGCAACTTGGTGATTTTCTACAGATGAAAAAGTAAAAATTATTTATTAGATGCAAGATAGTAATTTTTGTGCCTTGTTTTTAGAATATTCCCAAACTATTGATTTTTTCCACAAGTTGGTAAAAATTATCAACATATGAAAAAACATACTTTAGCAATTTAAAGTGAAAATTTTAATTATTAAATATGTACCTTTAAAAATAAAAAAAAATTCTTCAAATCTTTCTGTAATTTTTTTTCACTGTTTTCTTTTTAAGTACACAGTGATCTGTTTTCGCCTAAGAAAACATCAGAGAATTGCAGACTCGGTTTCATGCAAACCTTCGCAACAGTGGCTCTATAGGAAAAGCATTTCCTCATTGGCCCCTTTAGAAAGTTTTCAACAAAATTCTGTAATCCTGAAGAAATTTTATTGCAATTTCTTCTACTGCTGGAAAATTCTGAAAGTGCATATTTTAAGACTAAGGGGGGAAATATCCTGATGTGTTTATAAAAAACCATTGGAACTTGGATTATAACAACAATTAAAAAAAAAAAAAAAATGCATACAAAAATGACAGCATTGCTTGATTAAAGTAATGGTATGAGCATGGTTGCAAGAGTTTGGCACATTCTGAAAATAGGGTACTTCTACAAAAGTGGTTGTGATAACATTGTAGAGACATTAGGTAAATTGGAAAAGCCAGAGATGAAAAATTAGCAAACCGCCTTTGCCGG